AAAACTTCTAAACAAGGTGTTTGATGTAATGCTTATATCTGTCTGTGTCTGTTGGCATGTTCATGCCTTGTACAGAATGTAAAGGGGCGGCCGAAGGCTTAATAGTCCCATTTTAGTTGGGTTGGTGGCCTCTTTAGGCTTGTAAATAAAGGTTGTGTCATGTGGACACGTGCGAGAGCTTTTCGGTCTGTAATGGACCATTTTACCCTTTGGTGTGCCACTGTTCAGAGCTTGTAAAGTCTGTTTGTAATTTGCAATGTCTATGAAGTGTTTTTCGGACATGTTTGCTTGTGGATCCCGATTGAGCCGTTCTCTCTTGCCCGTTCTCTCTTTTGTTGGTCCTAAGGGACAATGGGAGTCTTCGGGGAGGCTGACCTTTGCGGACGGACACGCAAGGGTGCCGCACGACTTAGGCAAAACCAGCTAAGTCCGTGTCAACCTGGCAATATATTGAATAATTTTGATCTAGTTTCCTAGTTTACTCAAGGAAGAAGAAAATAAAGAAAAATCAAATTATGATTGTGATTGAAGATTCAAAATCCTGATAGAAGATTTTGTGAAGATTAACCTCTACAAGGATGGTTAAAAATAAGATTCTAAATCATTCATAGAGTAAAAACATGATGATTAAAATGGCGAGTGGCGTCAGGAGTATTGTATGACCATCGGATACCTCTGAGATTAAAAGAAAAAATTATAAGATTGTTATGAGACTAACAATGCTTTATGGATCTAAGTGTTGGGCAATTAAGAAACAATATATATGAAAAGTTTGTGCTGCTGAAATGAGAATATTGAGATGAATGCATGGAGTAACTAGGAAAGAGAGAAAAATAAATATTATTATTTGTGAACAACTAGGTATCGCTTCGATAAAAAATCAAATGAAAGAAAATTATTTAAGATAACATGAACATGTGCTTAGGAAACCTTCGGATGCGATAGTCAAAAGAGGGGAAATGATTAATGCTAATGGTATGAGGAGAAGTAGAGGAAGACCTAAAAAACCTTTAATAGAAACTATAAATAAAGATTTAATTAAACATATGAATTTTTACAGATTTCAATGATGACAAAAGATCTCTGTAGCCGACCTTAAATAGTTGGGACTCATGATTTTGTTGTTATTATTGTTGTTGTTGTGGATCTTTACGAGGATGGAAGCATACTAATCAAGAATATTATCTTTTTCGAAGGAAAGATCAAATCATATACTTGATTTGATGCAATTGTAAATTTTTCACCTTTGCATTTCTTTTTCTTTTCTTGTACCTAGCCTATAAAAAGGGGCTAAAACATTGTAATGCATTAATGGATCATGTTTTTTTCTCACCTTGTGTGTGAGTGGTGCGAGGCCACAATTATATTTCCGATGGTATTATTCCATCATCCACATGTGAGATGTATGGAGGTACGCGGCCTTCATCTTGGGAGTTTGCTTCTTGAGCTAGAGCGAGTCTAGTGGTTATCTTTTGTTTTCTATTATCTTCGTATTATTATTTCTTTTCTTTTCTCTCTCTACCTCTCTATCATCAAAAGGAAATCTACTGCTACTCGTCCTACATCACATCAATATATGATTCATCCTGTAACAGATGCTTTAGAAAAAAAAATTAAGACCTTACTGGCCATTGAGGGGAAACATGTAAAGACGAGGATGTGAGCCCTGCTAACCTGTTAGTGTGATTCCTAGTGCTGGAGTCTGGTTTTTTCCCCTTTTCTCCATTCTATTCCTTTTATTGATGATCGTGTATTTCTTTGCGCAGAACTTGTATATATTGTTGATAGTATTCCATAGCCAAAATTCCATAGCTTCTTTATGTCATCTTGCTTCATGACTAAAATAGATTGTTAATAGCACTCTTCCAGAGTCTAAATCCAATGACTACATAATGTTTCTTTTTAAATTAAAGTTTCAAATTTCACAGCATGAGGACATGCCTATGATGTGCCAGCATGATATGCGTTGGTGCCTGTAAACATGGGCTTTGCTCTAATTTGGAATAATGTTGTCATGTCCTTGGTGTGGCATGACACACAACCCCTGGTTGATGCCATTCTGGCAGATTATATCAGAGTCAGCACGAACTGAAAATTAAACCCATGGGATTCATTTTGTAATTTTTTTAGCTATCAAAATCTTGATATAATCAAATTTAGTTTACAAGAGAGTAGATCAGTAGAATATTTACAAAAGAATGTTTATATTTTTTAATTAAAACATGGATCATTTCTGAAGTTTGAAATGCCACATTAGTATCTTTTTTTTCTTATTTTCCTCCTCTCTTCTCCCTTTTTCTTCCTTTTCTTCTTTTTCTCTCCATTTTTCTCCTCTCTTCTCCCTTTTTCATCCCTGCTTGCAAAACTTTGTCAACTTCCTGTACCACGCCCCATTCACTGGATGGACTGGTCTGTCAGCACTCCTGCTTTAAAACATTCCTAGTTACCTCTAAGAACCTCTTTTTCACACCTGTTCTACATTAAATACATAAAATTCAAATATCTCACTCGTGTTTTTGCTGGGCTGCAAAGTTTGTTTCTACAGCTTCCAGAACTTTCTGAGAAATGATAATCCTCCACTATGTAGGTGTCTTTATCTTCGGTGCAATAAAATTTAAAATTGTCATTCATCAGATGCAACTAATCGTCCCATTATGTTATATTTTACGACAGGTGGACAGCACATACATGTTCAATGTAGAAGGCCTTATGCCAAAACTTTGCCAACTTGCTCAAGAGGTAGGGGAAGATGATAGGGGACTCCATGTGCGTTCAGCAGCACTGCAAGCTCTTGCTTCAATGGTACTATTTTTGCATGAATCACATGCATGTTATCCTTCAGGAATTCATACTATATTGTGTATATCTGGGTTCTTATAAGATCACTTCAAAATAATATTAGTTGTTTGAGTCTACTATCTCATTGTAAACCCATGTTGATTTGGCCCATAAAGATTGAGAAATGGAAACACATATTCTGGCCGTTGGTAGTGAACTCCGATGCATATTTCTTGCTGCTGTAGTTATTTTCCATTATAGATGTTGTTTACCTGGATATCAAGTTAATAAAATATGAAGAAATTTCAGTTATTTGTTTAAATTTAAATGACTTGTTCTATATTACTGAGTGGAAATTTAAGTTCCCTAAAATCATGTATTGGGACAAGTTGCATCTTTCTGAAAATAGTTGTATCAGTTTGCTCCCTTCATGTGCAGGTGCTTTTCATGGGTGAATACTCGCATATCTCAATGAACTTTGATGATGTAAGTTCTCTTTTTGCCATTCCTTGTAGAGCTGCCTCAGTGTTGAAGTCCAAAATAAGATTATTTTGTCCATGTTTACAATATAAGACATACTTTTATCTAAAAGGTTGTTATTTATTTTTTTTCAGTCATTGCATTTGGTCCATTATTATGTACACTTATTGTGTGGGGTGTGCCTGGCATCCTTCTGTTATTTTATATGCCTTTCCATTGCAACATTGCATGAAATGCTTATACTTGTCAAGTATGTAGCAGATACGATATGCTTATCCATTACTTGAGTCAATTTTGAGTTTTTAATGAGCTTGATTAACTATTTGCTTACATATTATTTTTGCCCATCAAAATATCATGTTCACACTATTCTCAAGAAACAAAATTGGTGCTTTGATCAAGGATTGAAGTGCTATGCGTGCTTCTTACCTACTGGTGTGGCATCAATATCATCATCATCAATAAAGATCAGTTAAGACTGAAAAAAAAACCATTTACCTTATGAGATGATGCCCGAGGCTAATCAGCTTCAGTCTTTTGGCAAGGACCATGGATTAGTCAGGATGGCAAGGGTAGAATATCTCTTAGTCAAAAGTGAGAAAACCTTGTCTCGAGATGGATAGATGTTGACACATGTCAATGATACCTGGAATATCGCTTTTGTTCTTTATGTATATTTTCTTATTTAATAAATACCTATTGTAATATATGGTTTTGATAAATTCTAACAGAAATAGGACTAGTATGTTTAAGGATTTTTTTTTTCATCCTCTCATGATTGCTTCAATCAATTTACTTATTTCACTGAAAATGAATCAGTGTTGCTTTAGTTATTCTTCAAGCCGTAGATTACAAGCTTGAGTAGTGGGAATAAAAAAGAGTTCAGCCTTTCCTCCTGTTACCTTGTATTTCCTTTTGTCATGTCAATACCTAACATGCCAGCATATTAGTTTGTGAACTGACTGAGAAGAGTTGCTATACCTATCAACATATGTTGGTATGGTGTAAATGTATAGCATTGGAAAGGTGTTGGTCTGCTCTATGCCAATTTGTGCTGGTGGGAGTTGACATTTGACTAGGCCAATGTATCTAGCCTATTCAACTAGCATGAAAAAATTGTGCTGTGCCAAAAGGTTTTGGGTTACCTATGTTCTGCAAAATGGCAGTCCCTGATATTTGGCGCATAGTACTTTAGAGATTTAAACTGTTGGCCATTATAAACATTTTGTAATTTTTCTAGATTTGAAGGTGTTTAAGGAATATCACTTTGTCAAAGAACATCATCATCCTTGCATTCAAATATGTCGAGGTAACTATTATATATGGGGACACTCATGTTTCTTAACATTTTTGTTGTGCATTTTAAGATTAATGTTTCCCTTTTAATATTTACTGTCATCCTTTCCTCTTAAGGAATCAAAAGATTTTCTTAACAAATTTAATTAAATTCTAAATTAGACATATGCTCTTATGAAAATTAAAAGAAAATAGTCTGTTCTTACCAAAAAGCATATTCAAATAACAAGGCGGCCTTAATTAGATTGATTATGCAGGAAGCATAAAGAATTAATGAGAATCTTATTTTATTGTTCAGAATTGCTTAAATCTCTTATATTCATCATGTTGTCCACACTAAGAACAAGTTGCACTGTAACCTTAAATTTTTTTATAACTAAATGAGAAAATTAACTATAGAAGGAATCTCTTACTCAACGCTCACCAATGGATTTGAGAATGCTTGTAAATCACCATCAGCTAAAATGGAAAACTGAAAAGCCATTGTGAAACTGAGATCTAGTTTGTCCACCCATGTAGGGCTTAAGACCATCACTGTAGTCCTTGTAACGTTAAATATTGCGTTAACCTTGTGCCTATTAAACTTTGAATTGAGGTAAGGTCGCACAAACTTGCATGATTAATATTCTTATTAATTAATTATTCTTCTGAAATGAACCTGTTACTATCCTAAAATTTTGAGCTTACAACTGCTTGGAATGATGATTTTGTAGCTTATGTACCAACCGGTATAACCAATCTAACCAAGTGCTGGTACTGGTACTGGTCATGCCAACATTCATTTTGACCTTTTTAGTATTTTGTTTAATAATACCAGATGATATACCCATGGTTTGTCTTACCGGTTCGTACCGATGTATCGATCAGCTGTTGGTACGATACGTTCCGAACTATATTGAGCCATACAAAGCATACCGACACATCGTACATAGGGGCATACTGATGTACCATGTACCACCCATACCAGTCCCCTATCGGACTAGTATGTACCACCTACACCGAGCGATACGGCGAACCTTAGATATACTAATATGTGCTACCCAAGATACCGAATTACCAATACCAAACCAGTCTGATAGGCTAGCTAAAACTTATAAGACCAGTGTTTAAATCTTTGGTTAATAGTAATTAAACAAAATATACCAAGCTTAGAAGAGTAGTTCAGAAGCAAATACATAATGTCTCAGTCCTACATATTTGTGCCTTGGAATACACTTAAATTTTGTATTTTCCTACCTTAATTCTTGTTACTCTCTATGTGCACAAGGAATATAAATTAAAGCTAGGAAAATACGAGAGCCTTGTTTTTGTCTTTAAAGGATTAGTTTGTCTCTGTATTTAAAAAGATTAGTTTGTTAATTATATTGGATCCACATGGAATCACTTATTTAGATATATTATTGCAACATTTAAGAAAGTAAGATGCTTGATTATGCTAAATAATTAATTATGCATCTAATTGGGTAAAAGTAGATGGTGTAGAAGATACAGCAGCAATCAGTTCATTGGTATTTTTTGTTATGTTTAGTTATGTTTTTCTGAGCTTTTCTTAAATTAATCATACAGTAGGAGCTCATGTGTATTTTTAATTTGTCTTTAGTTGGTTTATATCAACAAAACTAGAGTGCATCAATTTGAATCATATATCATCCTGATTTAGGATACAACAGTACTATAAATTGTTGTGCAGACACCAAGTCTTGGTTCTAAGGGGATAGGGTGATCTTGGTATATAATGGTTTTGCATCACTAATTTGTATGGTTAACCATCATGTCAACTGAATTTTTCAATGTGTCAATTTTCGGCCTATTCTTTAAGTTTAGGAACTCCGTTCTCCTAACATAGCTGACAATCAAATGTTCAAAAAGATATTTTAGAACTATAATAACTCCAATAAATCATTTTCACTGTTCATCTCTAAAGTTTTGACATATGATGATTGAAAGAATAAATAGTTTCTTTAGAGATGAAAAAGGATTTGCAAACACGCTGCATACCTCATCATTAAGAAAGAGTAATTATGATGGATTACTTTGAAAGCTATGTAATTGCTGGCTGTTTTAAGTCAACTACCTTGTGCATGGGTTGCCCATGCTATTTCAGCAGCATGAGGCCACAAAAAAATCTGTCTGTCTTCTTGTTTGGCATGTATTTAATATTATTTAATATTCCAATTATGAAGCTGCATGTGTGTGTGTGTGTGTTACTTGCAAAGTTGCAATAATTTGAGTTTAAGCATTCTAGACCATGTGTTATAGATTCTTTTTTATACAAGTTATTGGCTAGTAAACTATTTGTATCCTGGCATTTGATGTCATAGTATATTATGTAGGTCTCTTAACATGGGTGAGACAACCTAGATGGGGACCACCTTCTATGCATCAATATGGTAAAATTTTTAACTATCGTTAAGGATCTAAACACCATAGGTAGATTTTGGACTACCTTAAGAACATTATATGGGAAAGATTGTAACACCCTATTAGTCCTACAATGATGAGATCAACACTGGTTGAATTGAGAGGGTGCACCACTAACATTTTGGGCTTACCATTTCATTCCTCATGTTGAGGGTCATTCCACATGGGTAACTGGTGACATCTTTCGTTCTGATATGTGTGGACAAAGTTTGAATTAAGATTTTCCCTGGGTTTATACTTTTTCCTTGCTGTCTGTTTCCTAAATTCTTCTAAATGAAATGTTTGGTTTTCTATATTTGTTTGTTGGTTTTATTTTCTGTCTCTTTCGCTGGTAACAGATTGTCCTAGTGATCTTGGATAATTACGAGGTTCATCAAATGAGCTCAGGTAACAGTAAGCAAGATTTTCAGTGTACTCAAGATCAGAATCATTTGGAGGAAGTTGGCAGGGTAAAAGATGATGTTTCATCCTTCCAGGACTCTTGGAAAAAGGTCCTCTCAGTACCTCAGATCACAACCATTGAAGTTGATGCTGCAGTGTGAGAACCTTACTGTTGGTGTAATTTTTTTCATTGGACATACCCCTTCTTATTTCCTGCATCTTTATTTTTTGGTAGGGACTTGTCAAGAAGCCCTACATACTGGTCCAAAGTTTGTTTACAGAATATGGCTAAACTTGCCAAAGAAGCGACTACTGTAAGGCGCGTTTTAGAGCCTCTTTTCCGTAAACTTGATAGTGGGAAATATTGGTCTTCTGAGGAAGGAATTGCGTGTTCTATTTTATCTGAAATGCAGCTGCTAATGGAGAGCGCAGGCGAGCTTTGTCCATTTTTCTCTCCATTTGTTTTTTTGTTTTTCTAATTTTGGCAACCACAAGTCTTTCAAGAATTCAACCTGGCTTCTCTCTATTTTCAGGACAAAATAGTGATATGCTGATATCTACTTTAATCAAGCACTTAGATCATAAGAATATTGGCAAGCAGCTTATCATTCAGATCAATATCATTAATGTTGCCAGACATCTTATGCAGCAGGCGAAGTTCCAAGCTTCACTTTCCATTCTGGCTTCTATAAATGACTTGATAAGGCATTTGCGCAAATGCTTGCAATATTCAATTGAATCATCAAATATGGGTGATGATGATGGTGAAAAGTGGAACTCTGTCCTCCATTTTGCCTTGGAAGAGTGTCTCATACAATTAGCAAATAAGGTTCTTTCAGCTTCCAACTTCATAGATGAGTTTTGAATTAGATTTCTTGACATAAGATAGTTAAATTACTCCTTGAGAACTGATCGGTCATCAGGCATTGGATGTTCCATCACATTCATGATATGAGTGGCATTCTTTTCCTATTTGCAGGTTGGGGATACTGGACCTATTATTGATATAATGGCTGTCCTTCTGGAAAATATTCCTACTACTGCTACTATAGCCAGGGCAATAATTTCTTCCGTTTACCGCACTGTGCAGCTAGTAGCATCAATCCCTAACTTGTCATATCAAAAGAAGGTCAAATCTTATTTTGTCTCTCTATAATTTCCAATGTGATAGCAAAAAATGTAGTTATTCCCCATTTGAGGAATGTCAGTTTTGCATATATAATGCAGGCTTTTCCAGAAGCTTTATTTCACCAGCTGCTCTTGGCAATGACACACCCTGATCATGAAATAAGAGTTGGCTCCCATCGTGTCTTTTCTGCTATACTTGTGCCCACATCTGTTTGTCCTTGGTCAATTCCATTTATTCCACCTGCTTTTAATGGATCTGATCCAGAAGGAACACTTTTGGTAGCTCTCTCAGGTTTTGCTTCTTCAGGAGCCATAATGGAGAAGCTCACATGCAAGAATTCCTTCGAGAATGTATCTCTAGCTAATACAAAGGAATTAGATGATGCAATGGGAAATAGCATGGATGAGAGATGGCAAAAGTTTAGCGGGAACTTAAAGCAATATTTAGTTCACCCTTCTCCAAATGGCAAAAACCTTTATTCAGTGACTAATGGAAAATTTGTCAGCAGATCTGGAGAGGAAGTAGGCAGTGCTGGTCTTATAGGCACTAATATGATATTTTACTATCTCATTTCAATTTGATGGCTATTCTCATTTGCAATTGGATTCTATGACAAATTGCTCTCTGTTTTATAAACTTATGTAGGAGCTGATCCTTATGCGACTGAGTAGCCACCAAGTGGGTCTTCTTCTCTCAACAGTATGGGTCCAAGCAACATCACCAGAGAATTCACCTGCAAATTATGAGGCACTGGCACACACTTACAGTTTAGCTTTTTTATTTTCTCAAGCCAAGGTGACTACCTCTCGGACAGCTTTTTATGACTGATGAATAATATTTTGTGATTCCTTTTTCCATGTCTTGTCGATTTGAATAGCATCTTTTAGTGGCAAGTTGTATTGTTCTTTTTGGAAAATTTTGCATGTTCAATTTTTCCAGCTGTAACCGACCCAAGTACTTGGGACCTTACAGTTTGTTGTTGTTGTACCTTAAAATTGCCAGCTTAATCTTCACTAAGTTTCTTTCATCCTTCCTTCTCTTTATAGTCTATGTTTCTACTTTCTACTATCTGTCCACATGTGCACTCATTATTCGAGATCAGTTATCCAATATGCAGATGGGAGCATTTAACTAGGGATACTTACAGCTTCCATGTGCCCCAAGCATAAGCAACTTAGTTCTCTAGGCTTGACCAAGTGGTTTGCCATTCTAGCAATATGGACAACATGACTATGTATTAATATCTTCCAACATATGTGCCTAATATATCCTATGTTGTTCTTTAAATTCTTGAAGCACCTTATTCATAGGACCATAGGTAACATAATGAAGGGTTAGTTGTCGTTAGATCTTGGAGTCACTACTCCAGGTAAAGTCAGATTCTATTCTTTTTTTCTATTTTTGGATGAATATCATTATTATAGGTAGTGGCTATTTTCACAAGCAGTTAGAATCCTAGACTTGCATTAATGTTTAGGAGTCTTATTTATGAAAGAGATCAAATTGGCATAGGTTTTTGGGCTATTAGTTCACTAGCTTTGAAAGCTCCAGATGTCCTTCTAGGTGGGAAATGGAGCTTTGCCAGAATTTGCAGGCCTCTGGCTAGCCAACAACTGGTAAGGGACTGTCAGCCGAAGGGGTCTTGCCAATGGTTGGCTGGATGTGGTGAACAGAGAGACATTGAAGCTTTGGTACAGGTGAACAGTCATGCATCACCATTCACCTAGTAGTCTACCTAAGAGGAAGACACGAGATAAGTTACAGAATGAAATTAGGTGTCTTAATTCTTAAGTGGGCGGGATGTTTCTGAAATGCTTCAACAATGGAGTTTCAGCTAATTTAACTGAAACTCCTCACTTTTGCCTGAACAGGCTGGTCTTTCTATCAGCATGCCTGGATATAAGTGGAGATATGCCTGACTATAGCAAAACATAATTCCTTGTTTCCGAACATAATAGATAATTGAATTTAAATGTTTGTTAATATCACCATTGAGAACCTGTCCAACACAGACTTAAACAAGCTGAAGTAATGACCTACTGTATTTTTTTTGTTGCTTGTTTGATTTGTTTTAGCAGTTTTGTAATTTGATAATTTATTTTCAAATGGGAGAGTATTTCACATTTGAAAATAAATTATCAAATTACAAAACTGCTAAATCAAATCAAATAAATTATCACATTTGTATTTTCAAATGTGAGAGCATGACTTGGAAAAGAGATATTGTAGATGTTGAATACTATGTGAAACCAATTTTATCTTACATCTTTTACACAATTCAGTGCTTATAGTTATATCAACATCTCTGTTCCAAAAACCATTCTAGTGTGATCATTTTATTCTTCTTTTCGGTTTTCCAGTGATTAAGTCTTTTATTTTCATATTGCCTGAAAGTTCTATGTGTTTTTGTCAGAACTCTAGTCATGTAGCCTTGGTCCGTTGTTTTCAGTTAGCATTCTCTCTGAGGAGCGTCGCTTTAAAGCACGAAAGTGAGTTCCTTGATTACAGTGTTACTTGTTAGTTTCTCATTGGATATATGAAGCACAAATTAGATGAACTGTATCCATACATTTACTTGTAGGGATATATAACAGTATCTTAAGTTTCTCTTCTCCGCTAGAGTTTATTTAAATAGTATTCTATGCTGGATGTGTTTCTTTTGTTCTATTGCTTTGAAATGTAATTATATTTTGTTCTATTATATAAAACAGCAAGAAGGTTTTTCGACAACCACTTGGATGCTTTAGTCTGAAACCCTATCTTTTTGCCATCACATTTTAACTAGATTGTTGTCATATTCAAGGTTTCAAATATCGTACTGTACCGGTGTATCGAGCTTTTCTTGGTATGGTACGGTGTATCGAGCGGCAAGGATTTTAATTTTGAATGATACCGCTCGTACCGGGGGGTACATACCAGTCTGCCAACAGATCCATACACAGACCGCCCGCTACCGGGCGGTACCGTCTATCGGGGTTGTTTCCGCCCTATTACCACTCGAAATTGGTCGGTGACGGTTGATTTCAATCGTCGCCGCTTGCAACCGAGCGGTATTAGCCAAGGGAGAAGGAAGAAGAGGGAGAAGAAAAGGGAAAACCTAGAGATTCGGTGCCGCTCTCCCTCGACGATCTCGATCCATCGCTGCCCTCCCTCGCCGGACGCCGCATATGAGATGTTGCCTGCTCGTCTGAGGAGACGAGGCCTCGGGGTCGTCGATGACTTCTCCTCATCCGCGCAGGGAGAAGCTTCGCGGGGAGAAGAAACCGAGCAGAAGAAACGAGGCGACGTCGCCCTTTTTTTCACGGGGAGAAGAAACCTCGCGACGAAACGAGGCGACGTTTCTTCGCCCCACGCGGGCAGAAGAAATGAGGCGACGTTGTCCCCTTTTTTTTATTTTTAAATTTTTTATTATATATATATATATATATATATATATATATATATATATATATATATATATATATATATACTGAGCGATCCGCCAAAATGTATTGCTCGGTATACTTGTACTGTATTGTATCGAGCTAAGCTCGATACTATGGTATGGTACGAAATTACGAACCTTGCTAAGCCGTATGCCTAAAATAGGCATAAAACCCTCCTAGAATACCTAAAAAATTGAAAAAAAAAAAAAAAGTTAGGATAGGGTTTTTAAGAATAGTATCGCATATATTTTCGAGCTTTTACGAGTAGCCTTGTGCAAGGTTAGTAATTATGGTCCATTCTGGATCGTCCTTCTGTTAATATTGAATTACCTACAGAAAAATTATTTGAATTGTTAGATTATTTTGTATATAACTTAAACTTTAAGATTCAAATGAATTAAGTAATCACACGTGTAGATATACTTGATTCTACCACTAAAATGAACGATAGGCCTCTACGGGTGGTGGATCGGGATCCTTGATCCTGTGTAACTGTATATCAATATGATATGTTTGTTGGATCCAATCCTGAAATTGATCTCATGACATATTGTATTGATACACTGTATGTCATTGGTGTATCAATGTGGTGATAGTCGTAGGTTGATCATCATAAATTACATGTGTTTGAGGCAGCTCCTGAGGCATGTCTTGGTGAATGTCAAAACTTCTACTTTCGCTACTGATCTGCTACTCTATATCATACCGTTGCTCGGAGAAGTATGACCAACTATCACCATACTGCCGTTAGCTGTAAGATTCTCCATAATACAATGGCTGTGAATACGATGAGTTTCGTTCTGTGTCTATGTCGTGTATGCTCTATCGCATCTGCTCAAAATCATCCACTGGCTCAAAAGCATCTGCTCAAAATCATGTGAGTAAAAATGAGTTTGAGAGAGTTTAAGAGTGTGAGAGTGAAATTGATTGAAATAGGAGGGAGGAAAGGGCTTAAAAACTCTTGAGGAGGCCTCCAACGGTTAAATTGACCGTTGGAACGCTGTTACCATTTAGTAACGATCGGTTTCGATCATTACCACCTAGTACAAGTCGGTCATAGTCAAAATTTCAACCATTACCGTCCGGTACAATCCATATCGCCCGATACGAGGCCAAATACTTGATACCGCCTGGTAATGGGTGGTCCGCATGCCGGTCTGCAGGCGGACCAGTACATACTACCCGTAACGGGAGGTATGGTACGGTATTCAAGACATTGGTCATATTTGGACACCATAGATTGCATCTTTGTTGTTCTGGAATGACATGGGTAGCAAACTGTTGTGTTTATTACGTTGTCAATCATCTGAAATTTTGACAAATGGATTGCAGAAACATAAAGTTGGTGATCTGCACTTTAGCCTCCACTAATTATTGCAACTTAAGACTTGAAGATGCAGGCTTGTTCTTTGTGCAAAAGGCTAGGTGAACTTATGCTGTAAGATGAAACCATCATTTCCTGATAGTGAAACATCAAAAGTGAAAGAGAATCATTTTTACTACAAAGCATTTTGTTGTACATGACTACACATGCCTGCAAATACAATTGCAGGTGACAATAGATTCCTGCATGTGAAGGCCCAATTATACCTGTTTTTGTTGGCTACAATCAAGGTTTTAACTTTTAAATACCGGTTAATACCTTTTTCAGCTGTTAGTCGATCCGGTATGATACTGGTATACCATGTGGCATATTGATATGTACCATCCTATATCACCGAAAAATAGTTCAATACCAACTAATATAAACCTATGCAACCATTGTCAGTCAGTAAATACCAGTCGATACACACCAGTCCGATCAGTATTTGGAAACTTGGCTACCACTACAACTGCACTGGAAGGTTCAATCCAAATATTTGATTGCTTACTGGTACTGTAGTATGGTAATTCCCCCAGTTTAGGTGTTAAGGTAACTTCCACTGTCATAGCAATTTCTTTGTGTACTATATTTTGGTATATATTCACTGTAGGCTTGTAAACAACACCAACTTGTTGGCTATTATATATTTTATATTGTTTTTTATATATAACTTGGGATTTGATTAATTCTTTAGTTTACTTGTATCCTACTTGTAATTAACTCACAGGCATCTTGGTCACTAGTAAAATTGTAGGATTTGGATCTTTAGTTGCATGTGGACCTGTTGCAATGTCTACTTGCAGGCAACCAACCGCTTGTAATTCAGTTGCTTGCTGCAGATAGAATTCCAGATAACCCATTTGACTGCAAACAAATAGCTTTTACATGATGTATGAGAAAAAAGTTTAAGGTGATTGTTTTTTAAGGCTGCATAGATGATATTAGCACTTTTTATATTATTATTGAAGATCTACAAGGAATTTTTAGTTTGTGATGTTCTGAATTCTGATGAAAATGCAAATGAATCTGGAGATGATCATAGATATGTGAAGTACATGTTGTATGTTAGGTTTGAATGCACTTTTTCATATTTTTGAGATGCAGAATGGCCAAGTATAACATTTACTGTTGAAGTAGGTTCTCAGAGCGATAGCTTGAGAATCAGGTTGGACTTGTGTTGATCGAGGTAAACAGATATGAAAGCATCTTGAGTTCATACCTTGGATCTTAGTTGGTCGCAATAGTCATTAAATCATGGAAACTAAGGTTTGGATGGTCTAGATATTTATATAATAGTATGATTGAACCAAAAATTTCTAATAAGGAAAAAACATTCCCCATAAGTTTTCTAGTTAAAATTCGAATCTACAAAGTTTTAACCAAAATATTCCCATCAGTCTTACTCTATCATGGAATGCCAAGCCAGCTCAAGAAAAAACTACCTTTTTTTTCTTTCTTGAGCTGGTTTGGCATAGCATGAAAGAGAAAGATAAACAGTATATTTATATATATACTGGTTTCTTGATTTACATGGCACTTTGGGGCAATTATTTTCAACAAGCATATTCGTAAGGTTGAATATGAACCTATTTTTGGTGCTTGTTACCATATTGAGCTGTTGTTCTATACCTGGTAATTTAGTTGTTTATCTAACTTTTACATTCTGAGTCTTGATTGCTTGTTTTCTTCATATTTTTGGTCATGCAACTTCTCAGTGAAACCTTTTTCTTTACCTGAAGAACTTGTCTGGTGTTGAGTAGAAGAAACACGTGCTTTCTATTATCCATTAGTATTTATATATTAAACTTGTGGTTTTTGTGGCTGTAGGCATGGAGGATCTAGTGATCTTGACTGGAAAGCAATCTAAACAATTGGAAAATAGTACATCAGTCTTAAAAGGAAAGGCTGAATGTAGTGTTCTTGTTAGATATTTACATTTACATGTTTACTCTAGGTTACTTGTATCCAAAAGACAGAACTAGTGAATGCAGTTTGTTGAGGTGCTGATCTGACATTTTATGCAAGCCACATTCATAATCGACCTCAGGAATCTAATTTGTATAGTAAAAGCCCATGATTATCTGTGATACCGGGTCTTCTATCGTTTAACTTTCTTTTCCCCTTCATATTTGTCTCCATTCATTCTTCCGCAGAAAACTGTTTTTTTCATTTACACATATGGTTAATTCTTTTGATATCTATGTCATTAGTGCTGGAAACCCAATAATTTTTATTTCTAATATACCATCATTGTTGAAGACTATTTGCAGCCTTCTCGTAGAAGATCTTTGTATACTTTGGCATCATACATGCTGATATTTTCAGCAAAAGCTAGCGATCTTCCAGAAATAATTTCTTCTGTGAAATTCATGGATGGGATGGTTAGTAATTTAATTACTTATATGCACTTCATATGTATATCAACCACAGGACAGCATCTGACAGTTTTGCACTGTTTCCTTTCTCTGTTTGGGATTCACATATTCAATTGTATTACAGGTTGATCCTCACCTTAATTTTTCTGAAGATAGCACGCTGCACGCAACCTATAAAGGATCTTGCAGTTATCTTTATGGTTCTAAGGAAGATGACATTGCAGCAATGGAGTTCCTTGAGAAAGTAGAAAGGGATGATAAGCAACTAAAAGAATCTGTCATTTCCCACCTAATGAAGAAATATGAGAAGCTGCCTGAGGTAAATCCATGTATATATGCACATGCTTTCAGCTTGTTGCCAAACTCTGATTTGCTCTTTTTTTTTTAAATAATCTTTTTTTCTATTTTAAGTCAACCAAGTCTGTAAGAAGATAAAGTTACTAATAAATTGCAGGAAAAACTAATATCTGTAAGAGAGCAGCTCTTGCATAAATTTTCACCAGATGATGCCCTTCCACTTGGTCCACCATCATTCATGGAGACACCTTACCCATGTTCACTTCTCGCACAAAAGGGATGTGATGAGGTACCTCTCTCTGAATTAGTTATGAATAAAAAGTAATATAATTTTCATATATTTCATCTCTTGATGAATTTCAAATTATTTTCTATACAGGTCATGACCCCTACTTTTTTGGAGGATGGAGAAACCTTTCCAGAAGCATTCAGAAGTCATTCGGATCAGAAAATGTCCGAGTCTGTGAATAATTTTGATGTCTTAAGTGTTAATCAATTGATCGAATCGGTATGTACGCTCTCCCAAACCAAGTGACAGCAATATGTTATATTGATGCCCAAATTCGGTCAGGTCAGCTAAGATTTTGATAGTCTATACACTTTTAAGTGAACTTTTAGCAGAACTACATGCAATTTAGCTGTATCAATTGTGATGCTATTTAATGACTAGGTTCTATTGCATGATGATAACACACAAAACATTGAAGACTGCAATAATGATGTTCATCTAGTTTAATTTTTTCTTACTCTTATTTTCTCTTTTGTTGTCTTCTATATCTCACATGCTCAGATGTCGATTAGAACCTACATTATTAACATATGACATAGTGATCATGTTCCTTTCATCATGGGTCTCTCTACAATGTCATTTTGGACAACTTAAGAAGCTCAAGGGATAATGTCATTCAAGTATTAAAGATTACAAACCTAAAAGGTTTATGCTGCAGATGATTATCAGATTTTAGCTCTTCTTGATCTTTGTTACCAAGTGACTGAGGAACTCTTCATAGTGACTCTATAGCTTGGTAAATAGAGTTGTCTATGGGGGTGTATGGAATATGGATATTCTCTAGGTTCTGAGGAGTCACGAAAGCTATTCTTGTTGCAGGTTATTGAGACAGCACGGCAAGTTGCTAGTTTACCAACTTCAACAATCCCAGTACCATATGACCAGATGAAAAGCCAATGTGAAGCCCTTGTGATTGGGAAACAGCAGAAGATGTCTGTGCTTCAAAATTTGAAACATCAGCAAGAAGACTGGATAGTTTTGCCAGAAGAGAACATTGTTGATTTGGTGGATATGCAGAAGGCACGTTTACCTAAATATGCCTTCATATCAGTTTGCTCATTTTCTTGGGATTATTTAACAGTAATAATTGTCTGCATCCATTGTGGCCTTGTAGCAGATACTACATTATCCGGAAGAAGGGCTAGAATCAGTTGAAAAGGAGCTCATACAACGTAGCAATTCAGTGTTGGGTGAATCTGAGCAGTCCTTCAGGCTGCCGTCTTCAAGCCCATTTGACAAATTCTTGAAAGCTGCTGGCTGTTGAGTAGATATTGAAATGGTTCGTGATCGATCTGATGTGTCATCGCATCAAAGGTTGTTGAATCTACTTTTCTTTTTTTCTCTGTCAACTTCTACTTTTTTTTACATGTGTTTGCAACTGTAAAGAAGAGGTGCAAGGTGTATTCGTGTTCTTTGTCCAGATAAATAATCATTCTTAAAAGCTACATACAACATATCTGCATCCTTGGTGTTGATAGTGTCTGTCTCATGTTTCAAGTTGCTGCATCATTCTAAATAAATAAAATGACTGTGAATATATTCTAAAATATTGAATGAACCTATGTCAACCTAATGTGATATTTGAATGATTTCTTAGTTTGCCCTTTTCATTCTTCCTTCTTTTCATGTTTGCTTTAGAATTTTCCTGTATAAGAAACATGATCGATGTGATTGAGATGGTGTCATAATCATTTGTTCCATATATCCAATTGACATCCATACTGATTCTTTATCTTTGTCTGAACTCATATGCTCTGATTAGAAGTGGACAGTGACATGGTTTATATTAAAGCTTTAAATGTCTACAAATCATTGGAGGACAGTTTTCTTCTTCTGTAGACAATGCTTACAGAATCACAACATCAATGACAAACACAAGCATGGCTGTATGAGAGAACTCCAATTAGAGAGGTTTCACTAGCAAGGATGGAATGTAAGGTTTGGAGCAGCATAATTTTTTTACATATTACAAGTTCAACACATTGGTAGGATAATGATGATTGAACCTTACAAATCTCTCTAAAGCTAACTGCATATACTGAAGACAGTAAAAACAATTTCAACAATGTGGAAAAGAAGAGGAACAAAAAGATTAAACCTAGTTACTAGTTTTTGAGTTCCAGTTAATCTGCATTATAACCATCATGATCATCTGAGAAATGTTATGCTGTTTTTCCATGGGTTAGAAATGAAAATGGTACAAAAACATTCTGAAAGTAAATATATGTAGCATGGCAAACAAGAATGGTACCCCTCAGAGTTGCTTCTGGTAGCAAGTAGGAAGTAACAAAGAATAGATGTGGACTGAACCAGGTTTTGTTAAACATAGATGGCCCTCATGTCATGGACCCATACAATTCATATTACATTAGATTTTACAAAATATTATGCACCATAAGTCAATTAACTGCATTCCATTTAGAGTTTCAAGTGATGGTTATTATTCTATGTGAAATTCTAGTAAATCTTAACAGTAGTTTTATCTTAAAATCATGATTTCCTGGTCGCAAAAGAACAATCTTAGTCATTTTCAAATGTGATACATGGAGCAAGGGACAAAATTATGTTCTTTTGGGAAGTCAAAAGGCAAGATTCTTTGAACATGTGTTCAATCACTTCAAGATGTGATGTTAGCTGGTTTGTGTCTTTGCCTGCCAAGTAGCTTTTCTTACATATGGACTGCTTCAAGTTGCCCAGATCTGAGACAAGGAAAAGGGTACCAAATTCCTGGCCCAGTATAAATTGTTCCCCACGTATCAAAAGTGCTCTTGGCAAATGAGCAAATATGCTCCATGACACACACACAAGAAAAAGGTCTGCAAAAAAGCATTCCTTGCTCATCTGCTTTATTTGCAACTGTGGTCCAATCCCTGGAGGCCTTGAAAATGATTCTCTCTAGTGGTCCTCAGATATTTGGAGTTCTGCATCAACTATGGTTTGGACCACAGCTTCATATGGAGGAATCAATATGAATGTGGTGATGAACACATCCAAACATAGTTGTTGCCTAGTCAAATCTTATCTCATGTATGGTGATGAAATACTTCAATAAAGGAAAGATATGAGAAGTTCAGATGGATTCAGACTGACCAAATAAGAAAAAACCTCACTACCATTGTATGATTTTGCTAACAATACCCCATAAATTTTAACCCAACCAATAGAAGAAGCAATAGTATCGATGTTAGTAAGGAAGCCTATAGGAGAGCTTCAATCCCATATTCCAAAGAGTTTTAGATTAGCTTTGTTGGGGCCCTCTCTAGAAAGAGAAAACCCCTCAAAAAATTGGCGTATGCTGCTTTATGTGGCGTGCACACGGTATTCTTTAGTAAAAGGCGAAAGAATAGTTCGCTTTGTGCTCACCACGCAGCTGCGTGGTTTGGAACGAAGGCCGTCCCACATCTTATATAGCAACTCGGCGCGATCCACAGACTAAATCGAGCGATGTGGGACTAAAAGTTCCCGTCTCTCCGTCTTCGTCTTCGTCTTCGTCTTCGTCCTCTTTCCAAGTGGTGGTAGTAGTATCGCTGCAGGTTTCGTTGATCTGCTTGAATTGAGATATCCGTCTTTTCTGTGGCCTTTTAACGATCTAGTCACTGAATGAATACCTATGCTGAGGCAAGACAGAGTGGCCGCGTCTTGCAGGTGTTTGTAAAAATTCCCAGAGTGTATATTTCTAGACTTGCGTGATTAGTCTTCAAATGCAAAAAAAAAAAGTCGTAAATCGTCAAATTTTGAAGAGAGAATACGATTCCGAATATATCAAGTTTCCTTCTTAATACATCGGCTCTTAAAATGAAACCCAACTTGCTGCTGCATGAATCCTGCGTACGGAATATGAAGAATGAATATTATTTTATGATAGACATTAAAATTTAAATTAAATAAGGGATAAATTTTTCAAACAGGTCTAAGTTCTTTTTTTTCTATGTGATGTGTTTTTTTTTATTCTCAAATAACACTTCTTATTTTCTGAAAGATGGGATTACTTTTGACCTCCACCTCACCAATTATCACATTCAACATGCGATGGTCACCGCTTGTCACCTCTACCTCACTACCAAGTCTTATCGTATTCATGTGACTACCTCTACTCGTCACCCTCGCCCTTGTCTATCATTGTTGAGATACAATGCCCTCGCTCTCGTCTGTGCGTCTCGCTCTCATTTATCATTATCGAGATATCTTACCCTTGTTCATTAGCTATACCCTCACCCTTGTTCGTTGCTAAAGCCTCGCCTTCACCCCACCATCTCCATTGTCGAGAGAGACAAACGAGGGAGAGAGCAAATGACAATAATGTCGATGCAAAGGAGGGGACAAAGTGTGGTGAGAGAGGGTAAGGGAATGGGAGCAACAAGGGCAAGGGTGACGTTAGAGAGGAGAAAGTTGTCCTCCCGATCGTTGGAAGAGACAACAATATAAATGAAGGTAATGCAAATGAAACTAAGGAGATAGATGAATGAGGTGATGAGACCGTCGATAATAAAGATTTCAGATAGGCCAAAGAGGTAAAGTAAGGTAAAGGAACAAACCTTCTTGAGCTACCACTACATAAGGAAAATGAGAAAGCAACGAAGAAGAGATTGATGTGCCATATCGAGAGGAGGGTCAAACATTTCGACTTTGAGTGATGGAGGCTATGGATAAGCGACAAACTCTATGGGACGGTGAGGATTGATGACGAAGAGCAAAATAATAACTAATAGATAAAAGGACGAGGACACATTTGAGGACGATGAGCACAAGCAATAAGGCAAAGATAATAATCAAAGGCTAAGGATATTCTTAATATTTAAAAAAAAAAATAAAAAGTACTATGCGAGAATAATTACGCTCTAAAAAAATTAAAAACTTAGATTTTTTAAAGAAAGTTTACCCTTAAATAAAAATAACATAACGGTAATAAGTGAGACTGATCGAGTCATTACGTCATCATCGGCGTCACATACCACTCTCGGGGCCCACATGCCGGCATCCAGTCGGACCCTCTCACAGCGAGAGATGCGGGTACGTGACGGGTACAGCCAACTTTATGTGGTATGTAACACGTCCATCCGTTCGTTCATCATCGTTGCGATGTTGATGATGATCATCGAGTTATGGTACGTTACTTTGAGCCATTTAAATGCCGCGGTCCATCGCGTGCCGGGAGAGAGGAATTGGAACCGTTGCCTCCGCGGAGGAGGGGAGGAGGACCAGGGCATGGCGGCGGACGAGGGGGCGAAGGGGTGGTCTGGACGGAGGTGGCGGTGCGGGGGGGAGGCGTGTCCGCGGAAGGGCGGCGATGGCGGTGGGGTGACTCTGCAGGGATATGTCGTGGACACGGCGAGCGGCGGGGAGAGGTGGCCGGGCGGGATAGCGGAGACGAGGAGCCTGACGGAGGAGGACCTGGAAGAGCTCAAGGGTTGCCTCGACCTAGGGTTCGGGTTCAACTACGAGGGGATCCCAGAGCTCCGCAACACGCTCCCGGCGCTGGAGCTCTGCTACTCCATGAGCCAGATGTTCCACCTGAACGATCAGCGCCAACCGATGCCTCCTGAAGATTCACCTCCCATCGCCAATTGGAAGATCTCCAGTCCTGGTAGTATGATAACTTCTCGCTTCTCTGTCTGAAATCGAATCAAGTTCTTCGTTTTCCTTTCGGTAGGAAATGGAGCTAAAGATTCCATCTTCTTTTCTAAAACAGTGGATATATGTTTGTGGATAGGTATGATTGCTATCATCGAAATGTCCATTATCTTAGGGCTACAAATTTCTTTGAAATGTTTGATAAATTGATTCTTCTGCAACCGGTAAGAACCAAATTGGTGAAAGGTTATTTTGATGCTCTGACTTGATATAATTTGATATATCTAGATTCACTATCTAAAAAAGCACTTTTTTTTCCCCTCATACATTTGATCTAACTAATAGTGTGCCAGATATGAATTTCTCATCTTATTGGGCTTATAGAAACTTTTCTGTAGATTTATTATTGTAATATGATCCAGTTTCCTAATTCAAATGTCTTTGGTGTATATATCTACTAGGAGATGATCCAGATGAAGTTAAAGCAAGGCTCAAGTATTGGGCCCAGGCAGTAGCATGTACTCTCCGATTATGCAGCTGAAAGAGTTCGCATTTCCTTTAGGAGTTAGTCTGCTGAGGTAAGAAGTGATAACCTTGTAAATCTAATGCCAAGGATGTTCTATGTCGAGTGAATCCTCTGCTTGAAGCCCCTGATATTAAGACATTCTATTTTCGGAGGAACAGATGGAAAATGAAGGCATATGACAAAAAGAACAGAGAGGAAGTAAAGAGAAGGACCAATTTATCATGACTGACCTGCCGACATGTAAAGAAGAGAACTTCCTCTTTTCATGTATGATACAGGATGAATAATATGATTCTTCTTGGTTTCGAAATTATTAACATATCAGTAATTTTTCGATGTAATCGGTTTAGTTGCAACAAAAAGTAATTAAATGGTAAAACCGATGATGACATGTCTTGACTGCACCTCAGATCTCAACAAGGTGTGATCATCTGGACTAACTACTTTTATCTGTTTATGTACATGGCTAGGCATCCAGAGACAGTCTGATATTCCACAATGACAAAAGCATAGATTTGTCTGGAGATTTAGCTGCAAAATAGTAACTGCTGATTTAGCCCCAGATCCAACAAAACCACACTGAAGGTTTGGGTTTTCTATTTGTTTAACTTCTTGTATCCGCCATGCTGCTGCAGAACGGCACTAAATAAATACTCTTGAAATGGTAGCTTCAGACACTATTGATTCTGCAAAGTAGATAATGCTAGCAATTTAGCTTATTAACCTCTTTGTCAGACAATGATTCACAAGGAAAGGAGGAGCTTGTGTTGCTAGAAATTTACTTGTATGGTTTGAGAGAAAATGAGTTAGTGCACGGATTAGCTGCACTAGCAATATAAGTTCATTTTCATTAGTTTCATGAAGTTATCAAGCATCTTCAGATTGCCTTTTGCTTTCCTAAACTAGTGGTTGTTACCAATACATAATTGAGTTAGTATGCCGGGGACTTTAAGAAGAAAAGGACATCTGTGATAGGTTAAATTCATAGTTACTTCTTAAGATAAAAAAAAGACAATAGAAGTAGATAATGGAGAACACACACTCTTGGTGATACTGACAAAAAGCACCAGGGTCGAGTTCATGTAGTGACTATTCATTGTTTAATTTGTCAAGTTGGCTAGATATTGATGAGGGAACTCCTTAAGTGATAGCTGTGTCATTTTGTTAGCCAAGAGCAAATCAACCATGGACAAAGAATAGGAGGAAATCTGAATGAAGATAAGCTGAGGACTAGATAGAAAAAAGAAGAGCAGTGAGACCCAGTGATCACTAGAATTGGATTGACCAATATATGTGTGTTATTAAGGTTCTCATCTCTCCAGATCATAAATACTTTTATGGATCTGAATATGATCTTACAACTTCAGTTTTTCTTTTTTGATTTGTGATCCCAGTTTTTACATGTTTTGCTTTTGCTCACAAGATTTACTTGTCTAACAGAGTCCTTTCAACTTCTAACCAAATCATGCCATAACATGTTCATGTACTACATGTCTTCCTTTTTCCTTACAAGATTGACTTATCTACCACAGTCCTTTCAACTTCTGACCAATTCATGCAATGAGAATGTTCATATACTACTTGCTTTCCTTTTTCCTTACAAGATATACATATCTACCACTGTCCTTTCAACTTCTGACCAAGTCATGCTGTGAGAATGTTCATATACTCATCTCTAGTTATGGATATAGAAATACAACATGTAAAAATATCCTGATAAAATTAGAAAATGGAAACCAAGTTCTCCTCACCCATCATTGACAATGTTAGAATTAGATTGAGTATATTCTAATAATTAAATGAGAAAAAATTGTCATCTTGAATTAGGGGAGGGACTCAGTCTTGTAGTATTAGAGGGCGGACCTTGATATAATGACAAGGTTGTTCTCTTGCGACTTGAGAGACCACAAAACAAGTCTCAAAAATAACCTCCTCTCTAACTATAGATTTAAGGTTATGTATCCTGCATTAGCGGATGTCTCGTACACTAGGTTCGCCCTCTACAAGTGGAATAATGATTCCTCATCATAGCATTTGTTCATTGTTATCTGATGAGCTTAATGATTTCTCGTAATCCAGATGTAGTAGCAAATAAAATTAGTCAATAATGAGGACTGGTTTTATATTCTTTTGAAACACAGACTTCAAAAATGTATTTGATATCGTAACAGTAAAAACTTTTAGCAGTAACTGTGCACTACTTGTTGACACTCCTAATGTTTCAACAAGGAAGCTAGTTAATATTGTTACTTATGTTACAGCTTGTTTTTCCTTCTCTCTGTTTTACTCATCCAATCTACCAAACAGATAGAATTGCTACCATAATGTGAATGCTCATGAAACTAAAACAAAACATGTTTCTTATACATGAAAGCACTTCATATTTGCCTTCCATCAAATGGTGAACATCTTCTGAGCATAAGATTTCACACATTTTGAATCACATCATTGATGAAACATTAGGTGAACAAGTAGGTCTTTGAAACTGGTTGCTTAGGAGAGTGATTTCTGTGGGAGCAATGGTGCTTGTAATACAAGTGAAAGGAGGTACAGCAATGGACTTCCTTCTCCATATGGTTGAAATGTATAGTGTTTTCCTTGTAAATGCTATCAGCATTTGGGGGTAATTTATTTTCATAATACTTAAGAGTGGCTAATTACACTTTAGTGTCTCAATTTCTAGGCTTAAAAAATTTATATTGAAATCCCTAGAGTTATGAAAGTGAAACATTTAAAACCCATTTACCTTAATGTCGTTGGCTTTACCGACGGAAGATATAACACGTGACAGCACATGCATGAATAATACGAAGATGATAGACAAAAAGATAATTTCAATAGTAGTGACGGATGGTAGCGTCATGGGTGACTATCGTGATGGTGGTCGATGATAACGATGTGGTGCTCAATTTTGCGGATATCGATCCAAATATCGACGATAAGGAGGAAGAAGAGGCATAGCGATGAGGCATCTGCGTTGGTGCCGCACCATTTTGCCTCCTCTTCCTCCTTCGGTGTCACTTTGCATTTATGTCGGCATCGGATGAGAAAGAAGAGACAAGCGAGGCATTTGCATTACCGACGACGAAGAGAGAGGAGGCAGGTGAGGCAAAGCAATGTGGAACCATTCATGCACGTGCTATCACATGCTGTATCTTCCATCGGTAAAGCCAACGACGTTAGGATAAATGAGGTTAAATGTTTCGCTTTTATAACTATAGGGATTTCAATTGAAATCTATGGATCAGGATGCTAAAAAGATCTAACAATAAGAGGTAATATGTAATTAGCCCTACTTAGAGAGTCTTACGTTCTTAATACAATATAGAAGAGTTCTACGTAGATTTGAAGGCAACTTTCCTATCTGATTACTAACTCTTTTTTTGATGCCGACCTACTAAATTGAGTCATATCAGCCTCTCTAGAAACAAAAACAAAAACAAAGTGGTGAACCTTCCATGGTTCTTAAACATCATATCAACCCCAAACTTGCTTTGCCATCAACATGTGATGCATAATTCAGATTACCAAGACACATTGGCTGACCAAAGATTAGGTGAACAGATCTTGAATCTTGTAGCATTTTAGCTCACCTATGTGAGTTATCAATGGCAGGATTGAGACATGCAGTATTCAATTCCTACCTGCTTTCATCCACATCTGCTACTTGGAATTCAATAATGGTGTGCTGATATATTACTATAACAATCCTTATCTGCCTTCATGCATTATATTTATGTAAATTCTAGAAATATATACACAGCTATGACTTCCTATATCCAAACTCTACAACAAACCAAAACCCTCATATCATTCAAACATTTTATGATCAAAGAATATATAATTAATAAAAATTAAATTAACTTTTTTGCTAAACTCTATAAAATTTTCTTAATTAGTGGTATGATCCAATAATGCATCTGAAAGCTGCAGTAAAAGAATAAATAAAGCGCGGGGAGACGAAAAAATTAGCATATGATGATGGAGGTTTAGAAAGAGATGAGCTAATGAAAGTATCAAAAAAATCAGAATTTTTGTGTCCTAAATTTATAAATCACTTCCATTTTTTCTCGAGAGTCGATCCAACAGATTTTACCATGAAATTTGTTTTTCTATGCAAATTCTTCCTACTTAATAATACAGTGTAAAAATGTTTCGAGGCCTTCGAAAAACACATCACAAGCAACGCAATTTGACACATTCAAAAGATGGCTTTTAGATGAACATGATGAAATGTTTACGCTACTTCCATTTAGTTCTCTCTTTCGTCGTACTCTTGGCGTTGAAGCAGCCAACGGTCAGCTCCGCCACCGTCTGCAGTCTTCGCAAGCCTTCACCGTGAAGTCTTGACCAAGTCCTCCTGTGGTCGTTCTCAGTGCATACATATATACAGAGAAAGGAGAGAGAGAGAGAGAGAGAGATCAATCTGCAAACTCATCTCTTCATCGGTCAAAGCGGTACTGTGGTAAGCCACCATGAGATTGCTAACCGTGCTGTTCATCCTTCAGGCCATCTTTGCCGTCGGCAGCGACGCCCGGCGTCTGAGGGACGGCGGCGGCTGTGCCGAGCTGTACGTCGCCGAGGAGGGTGAGACCCTGCAGACCATCAGTGTGAAGTGCGACGATATTTTCATTCTGGACGACAATCCGCACATCGTCGACAGTGATGATATCGGACCGGGTACGGTCTTGTTCATCAGGCAAACATGAGAGCTCTTTTTTGACAGGTCAATTTTAGTTGATCGTTTTACTCTCTTATGTATAGAATTTTATTTCATTTTAAGTATTAAGGTGCAAAGAATCAGCAGAATTGGAATGGTTTTATGTTCGTGAAATCTTCTTCTTCAATCTAGAGTTGATCTTGATGTTTCTTTCAAGTTTTGTAGTTCAAAGTTCAAACAAACAAGTCTTTGAGGTAAAGATTGCCTCTCAGAGCTTTGGATCTCTAAAAACCCTTTTTGACTTCAATAAGAGTTTCATTGTTTGATGCTGGTTGTGAAAACATCAGCAATTTGACATCAAACACTTGAGCTGATTTGGTGTGATTCAGAACATCCAAAAGATCAACCTAGTCTTGAGGAGTACAACAAGAAAGAACTTCAAAATCAATCAAAGATTTGCCTGTCACCGGACATGTATGTGCAGAATGTAATAGTACGCAAGGAATTGATCTCTGAACAAAGGTCCAAGATCGAAGGACCATTAAGGATAACATGTTAGGCATCTAGTCAATGATCTAAGAAATCGTAATCTCTGCTTGTCGATCTCTTCTTATGCTGATGCGAATGTTCTCGATGTTTATGTTTATGATGCTTGTGAGAGGAATCATCTCTATCAGCTGATCTCCTATGTCGCCTATGAGCGGGTTCTTCCTTGTCACGAGATCTTCTCTGCCGAGCAGGTGAATCGTCCATGTCTGCATGGCTGCTTCTGCACCTAGGCGGCGATGGAACCTTCATAATAGTAGGCAACGAAGAGTTAGTTCGTAGATGTTGTCCCGGTTGACAGATACGATCAAGAAAGTACTAGGAATTGATCTCTTATATTATAGGCTAATTCTACAGAACAATTATACTCGCAGGGATAATAAACTTTACAAGTTTATCAGTTTTTAACAAATTTCTGCTATTGAATTAGTGCAGATAATTCAGCTGGAAGATAGTGTTCTAAAACTTTGCAATAATAAAGAAACTCATCAAAAGCTGGTGATAGTTGAACAGTTTGTCTGATGAAGTAGGAACTAGATCCAAAAATATAATACCTGAAAACGTGACATATATCGCCCTTCAGGTGGAGGTGGAATACCAAGCCGTTGTAAATCGGCATATGGAATTGGGCGTCTGCTTAGGCAAAAAAACATGGAGCATTTTGGTCATCGGTAATTGCTTTGTGAAAAAGAATTTACGTGGAACAGCAGAGACGCGAAAATAATTGCTCAAGAAATAGTGAGTCGAAATTATTAAACAAAGCAGCTCAAACTTAAGGCCTAGTACGCACAAAGGTGCTCGAAATGGCCTCTCTCGACCTCCAAACCGAAGTTGACCAGATTCCTTCTTGCCTCCGAGTCCCCCTCCTTTTATAAAGAGTACAGAGAGTTCAATGAGTGCTGAAAGATCGAATAATGTTATGAGTGCTTTAACATACCTAATCTTCTTGGGATCCATCCAGGCATCAGATGTTGCCGGTAGTAGTCAACAATAACTTCATAATCATCAATCAAAGAATGATGTGCATCCTGCCAGTATAACAAACACGGTCAGTGTCTGATAGCATTAATAGTTGAAAAAGCAAAAGCTATCCCTAATTGTGTTACAGCTTGAAGCCCAGATACAACAACATATGTATTTCACTCTCATGCAACCACAATTAAAGGGGTCAAATATTTTCAGGTGTTCTATTTTACATGCTTTAAGTTCTTGATAAAATTTTGCATAACATTAAAATTTAGGGTTGGCTTGGAAGCTGAATTGTTGCTGGAATAATCTATCTATTAAGAGAGTTGCTTTTTCAATAGAAGAGGAAAGAAGAAGACAGGGCTTCCTCTGACAGAATCTCAGTTTCCTCTGAAGCACCATTATGTAGTATAAATTATGGAACACACTGCTCTAGATTGAACATTGACTCCTTTTTCTAATTTCTCACTTATCCTGTTTATTAGCTGTATTATTCTGATTTCAACAATTTCCCGTGCATAGCATGGACCTCAGTGGATTGATTCTCCTGAAAATCCCTCTGGGTATGATAAGCACTATTCTTCTCCCACCAGCCCATCAATTTGATAATGTTCAAGTATGGTCACTTTTCTAGCATCTGGACAAGCATTATCTGTGAAAAAGCAAAGAGCCTAGTCCATTAACTTGGTAACACTGTGACATGGATCCAAATGAAATAAATTGAGAATTACAAAAATACTGAACTTCATAAGTCACAAATGAATTCCTTCTTGCCATGGATTTATATGCATTATTTTTAGCAGCTCAACATACAGCAGATTTGGTTTGCATAATAAAAAATGTATACCAATTTGCTACCCTGACAAGGAACCTGAGATTTGGCCAATGAGTCACTCAAAAAGATGAAGGGAAAATATGCAGATTAGACCTTATTGATAATATACAAAAATATCATGCATGAAAATAGACTAAAATTATTTCTGGATAATGGAGATGCAGCTTCAATACTTTATACAGCCCACTAAAGCAGGATTTAGAATGAATCAAGAATTTTGCAGATCTTGTGGAGAAAGATGGTCCATGATTAATTCCTAGAAATGCTTCAATAACAGCAATCTTTCACTATGTAACATCATTTATTAAGTTCACTATAAATAAAAAGTTGTGAAGCCTACAAACTAAATGAGTCTCAGTTGCCAAATCATTAATTTAATGACTGGCACCAGAAATATGGAAGTTCTATACCATATTCATGCTGCATTATTTCATAAAAACAGTTAAAACATAAATGTCTCAGCAGATGGATAATACATACCAAACTTTATATAGTAGGATCTAATATTATAGTAGATACATAAAGAATGATGCTGAATAGTCAATATGCAAAAGATCTTGTATCCTTGGATTGAACTAATGAAGACACCATATGCATAACTAACTAGATGTAACCAGTACAACGATTGTCAAAACTCAGAGAGATTGTGAATTAAGGTGTGAAAATAAGACCTCATATGCACGACGCATCTCCCTCTCAGTTTCATATTCAACAAAAGCATAGCCACGTGAGGCACCAGTAACTGCAAACACCAGAGAAAAAGTTTTGTAACTCAAAGATAATACTTGCAGGACTTATTCGATATATAGACTCATCACCAAGGTATATATGTGCATAGACACATATACTCAAATTGATGCAATAACCTGGAAATGCAAGACATCGGATCCACATGAAATACACTTGGTAAATTTCTGAAGGATAGAGCAGCATTTAACAATACTTTAACCTTGTGTTTAAAATTTTTCTAGTGTGGGCATACAAAAGAAAGTTATAATACGCATACATATAGCATGGATATCATCTGCATATAGCAGCACCAAATGGGGATCAAACAACTAACATATACATTGACACCAACCTACAGTGCTAAGTGTAATTAGTTTAACTGAATTTTGGATAACATTGTTAGTTCAAAAGACAAAAAAACCAACACCATGGCTAATCTGTAAACAATCATATTAACAACCTAATGCATATCCAACAAAACAAGTCAACGGTGCATGTAGAAGGATTGGCCTGTATGTAGCAACTATCATATGATAAATGTTTGAGTTGCAAATGAATGCCTATTAAGACATCTCTATGAGAACCCAAAGTAAATAGTGAATTGGTGCCCATGACATTGTTAAGGACAACCTCGAGTGCGCATAAATTCTCATTGCACTTCCAGCTATTGACTTCCCAATTGAGGACAGTACAGTTTTACAAAACATCATGCATGATGCGCCTGCCAATATCTAGTCTTGTCAGAACTCATAACAACATTCTTCATTTTGTTTAGACCAGTACGAAATGGGTGATATGTACCAGTCCGAGTGTGGATCAGTATACAGACCACTGTCCTTTCAAGTGATTCGATCCAACCCAATAGAAAATAAAAAAACTTAAAATAGTAAAACATGAATTAGGGCCCGTGAATGCGATGTCACAGCTGCTGTTTGCCACCTAATAAATATTACTTGTCTATAAATATAATTGTATAAGACAGTTGTGAGACCAATAATACTTTATAGATTTGAGTGTTAGACAGTTAAAAAATAACATATACAAAAAGTTTATGCTGTCGAAATAAGAATATTAATATGTATGTGTGGAGTTACGATGAAAAATAGGAAAAGAAATTCTTCTTCATGAACAACTAGGTATCGTTTCGATCGAGAATAAGATGAGAGAAAATCATTTAACATGGTATGAACATGTGCTTAGGAAACCTTCGGATGTAGTAGTCAGAAGATATGAAATAATTAATGTTAGTAGTATGAGAAGAGGTATAGGAATACCTAACAAGGCTTTAATGGAAACTATAAATAAAGATTTAAGTATTCTGAACTTAACTAAACTTATAACTTCTTACAGATCTCAACAGCAACAAAAGATCTATGTAGCCGATCTCAAATAATCGAGACTTATGACTTTGTTGTTGTTGTCGTACATATTTAATTGTATGCAAAGCGAGCAATTGCATTGTTGTATCAAAATGTCTAGAGAAGAAAGTAGCTTATGTTTTCAGCCATGTTTAAGGGCCTTACTTTCCTAGGTCCTTGGAGCTTGGAGCCTAATAATCTTTCTAACGTGGTCAATAAGCTACAAAAATACTTGTCCGTCAAGCCAAATGCAACTAGTATTCCAAGGCTCATTTTCACAAACAGCATATGTAGGCAGCGCATTCTGAGAGATAACATAGTAGAGAAGGACAATCACCATAGCACAAGGATTTACCTATATGTCTCACAAGTCGCAAATTTTTCACCGTTCCATACTTGCTCATCGCCTGCAAGTAAAATCAGAAATGAAGATCACTATGACCAAAGAAGAACCTGTGAGTCAAAATCACACCTTTCGTAGAGTTTCTTCATCGGTGAAGCGCGAGAGCCGCCCGACGAAGACCGTGCAGTAGGGATCACCGATAACCTTGGGATCGCCGAACGGGTCATCTGAAAGATACCAAATAAGCCACGAATTCACATAGGCGAGGCGAGGCGAGGCAAACACGAAACGAAGGGACAAAGAAAGGAGGTACAGGAGCTGAAGCCACTCACAGAGTCCGGCGGCGGAGCAGAGGACGGCGCGGTAGACGGCGTTGTCGTGGGGGAGGGTATCAGTGCCGTCGATGCTCCCGGCTTGAATCGGGTGGTACGTGTCCGCATAGAACACGGCGTTGATGTTGGCGTTACTCATCCCTGCTTCCCCCGTCTCTCGCGCCCAAGACAGAGATCATCAAGAAATCCCAAACCATCTCTCCAAACGCGAAGAAGAAGGAAGAAGAAGAGACCTAAGGCCCACATCTCGGACCGAGCTCGATCCAAATAGGACCTGACTGGGCTTTAATTGGGCTCGGCCCAATTGGCCTGGGTAGTGCCCTCGGTGGACTTGTAAGGGGGTTTTGATAGGAATGACACTTCACCCTTACCAACTCAAAACCTCAATACCTATGTGGTGAGCCCCACTTGAGCACACTGAATCCGATCGGATGGTATACGAAATTGACGCGTGTGGGTAGGATTTGTATACCTATACCTATTTGTGTGCTTATGGTCGGTGTCCGAATCTATAAGAGTAGTGAGTAGATCTAATGTCATCTACAATAATAAATATGGAAATGATTCGGAACTACACGAAATAGGTTGGTCGGTCCAATTCTCCATTACATCAACATTTAATGCTCATTCCAGTGGTCTTTCGAACACATGATTGAAATATAAAACGAGGAGTATATCTTTGGTGGGGTCACCCAACTTGCCATGAACAAACAGTCAGGAGTAGGTCGATTTCCACTTGCTAATTGGCACCTCTTACCATCACCGGTGTCGTTGAATGGTTTCGAGTTGACTAACAGTGTTTGGGTGGGATTTCTTAGGTTTGATAGCACAATCTGGATTTGTGACGTGTCTTTCGATAGTAGATACGGGTGAATAGACTTGAGCTGAGTTGGGTTTGCTCTGACTCCATTATCGTAGTCAACGCAAAATTGGTCACTTTAAGGTATGTTGATGGCACGCACACGCAAGCCCTATTTCTTTTATGTGCCTTTTGACTTTGACTTGTGTCCAAACTATAAACAAAGTCAACTATGGAAGAGGGTGACGCAAAATGGTTAAAGATACGTTACATCGAATTGATTTTAATATACTTGAATTAACGATTCGAGAGCAACTTGTTAGATGTGCCATAATTAGATCGGTATCAATTAGTCGTGTTTCCTTGATGATATAATACAAGTCAATTGTCTGTTTCAACCCTTGCAATTATATATATATATATATATATATATATGATAATTTTTTCAAAAAAATCATAAAGTTTTATTATTTTCTCATAAAATATTTATTTATATTTTATTAATGTAAAACACTCTTTATTTTCTAAAAGATGATATTACTCATATTCTCTACCCGTTAATCATCGCCTCCGTCCTATCATACCACTACCCCATACTCCTCTCCACTGTCACCGTGTCACCCTCCACGTTATTACCATAACTCAACCTCGTTCCTTTGGAGGTAAGAGTTTTGTCCTTTCCTTTCCTTCGGATGAGTTCCTCTATCAACACCTTTTCATCATCGGAAAGCTCTACATCTTCTTTCTACATTATTGTGAGTAGAGGTAAAGAAAGGCGACATAAAAGATGGGGTGAGGAAGAGAACACCACTTGTCTAAGGGGTCAAGTCAAATAACAAGGGTACGAAGTCGGCAGGAAGGCAGAAGAGGTCAAGGGCAAGAGCACGATGGGTGGAGGTGGTGACGCGAAGGTAAATGAGCTTTGGTTGTAGAGATGGTGAGGGGCGGAGACTAGAAATAATATCATTAAAAAAAAAAAGAGAAACACTATATGAAAATAAAATTAAAAAAATACTATACATAAAAAATAAAAAAATTTAGTGTGTGTGTATATATATATATATAGTCTTTGATAGCAGATAAGATTTTTCTAAGGAAATCTCTTGAGGGAAATTCTCTATTCTGTTGAGGGAAATCCCCCCTCATAAGAAGAGGGACATGTTAATATATTCAAACTTCTTCAATAAAGCTTCTTCAATCAAACTTTTTATCTTCTATTCTTTCCAACAGTTTTTACCGGGCTAACTAACATCTTTTTTATTAGAGATATTAACTTATATAAGTCTTAATAATAAATTAGGAGCTAAGTAGTCTATCCAAATATTTAAAATCATAATATTATTGCTTCTGGATGATGATAAAGATAAGTGTAGATTGGCAATACAATAATCTTAGCAAAACTAAAAAAGAGAGAAAGAAAAGGTAAAAAATAGCACTGACATGTCATTCTTGTGATGTCTAGATAATAATTATAAATTTACTCATCCCCTGTCGAACTTGTGTTGTCCCCGAAATCATCATGGAAGTAAAAGCAATCTTATTCATGGAATCCTCATGTTGTTTTTCGAATCATTATATGGATTAGAGTGACAAGAAAATATTACTATAATTTTTATAGTAATATTACTCATTCAGTCCATTAAGTTGTTGTCACGTCCATAGATATTTGATCGATGTTATCCGAAATGATACAAATATTCATATTTTATTATAATTATATTTTTTATATTCAATTTGAATACGGTTTTTGTTTTATTTTTTAATCAAAATTTGTAGTCCCATCATTTGATCGATTTGATGTCGAAACGAAAAATATGATAATCTTAGTAAAAAACACTTATAAGAACATAAAAATTATATATATATAATTTAAATTAAAAAAGAATTTTTTATAAAACCTTATTTTTTTTATTTTTTTGCGGTGTTTTAAAAGATGAGATTACCCCTAGCATCCGATCCATCATAGTTGCCTTCGTCCTTCGTCCATTACTACCACCACACCTTTGTCCGTCGTCTCCACCGTCATTCTTGTTTGTCGCCCTCACATTTATAAAGGGTTCCTTCCTCTTTGACATGGTCAATTTCATCATCAGTGGAGAAGTGATAATAGGTTTCATGAGGAGGTTATTCTCACGCAAGTCCCCGTTGCTATTGTAGGAATCGAGTTATAAGTAGGTTGCTTTGCCATGACCCTCTTTAGAAAGATTGATACCTTGGTAGCGATGAACAAGGGCACATAGTAATAGTAAACAAGGATAAAAGTATAATTAAGGTGATAATTAGCGGGAAGAAAGTCTTATTTTTTTTAAAATAAAGAGCGCTACATGAGAATAATTTTTTTAAAAAAATTTATCGATAAAAATATATTATCAAGTTGATATAAAGGAGTTTACTATTTAAAGCCCAAATCTTATTATTCACCATCCAACCCTAAAACTGTTAAGTCATTATAATAAATATCAAAAATTATTTCTCACTTTATCTTCGATCTTCAATACTTTCCATTTTATTATCTATCATTTTTTCATCATCTTATGTCATCTTCGCAGGAGAAAGAGAAGAAGAATAATAATAGATAAAAAAATAAAAAATATTAAAATTAAAATTATAAATTAAGGATATATAATTTATGAATATTTAAAGATCTTAATATTATGATCGTAAATAACAAGAAATAGGTTACAAAGAATAATATCCTAATACAAAGAATCACCCATGTTACTGAAATGACCAGAGAGCCCTCTCTGAGTAGAAAATTGACATGCCTACGAACATAGGCAATGAAGTAATTAGCAATAGCCAAAACCCCACTCTAAAACGAGGAACACCGATAGGGGTATTTTGGGCACTGCGTTGCTATCCTCTTCGTTGCGGTGCGGAAATGAAGTAACAAACCGTATAGAGAAGTGTGCAGTAGAATTGAAGCGAAAGAGACGTGAGTCGATCCTTCTCTCTCTCGACCTTTGGATACTGCCCCTCGGTTCCATTCGACCCTCTCGCCTCGAATTTTCTGTTCCTCTCCCCTCCTCTGTCGATAGAATCGATCTCGTCTTCGCTCCACTTTGTCGATCGCCGAACCAAGAACCGTCGGTTCTGCCTGGAGACCAGCGCGTTTGGGAGGAGGGCTCGGTTCGTTCCCGATTTCGGAGGTTTGGGGGAGAACCGGGCGGTTGGAGAATGCCTTGATCGGGTGACGGGCTTTCTTCGTCTGATCAGGTATTTGGTGTTTTGAGCGCGTGAGTTTTACTCTGAAATTGTGGTGTTTGATCTGAATATTGGATTTTTCGGCATTTTTTCTGTAATTTGTGGTCTTTGATATGAAAAAGTAGTTGGAATTCTGTTCCTTTTTGCTACACGATTGCGAAATTGTCTTGTAGAGTACTATGGCATGCATTGTTAGGGGTATGGTAACCTTTTCACTTTCCGTATATAATGAGGTAAGGTGGAAATATGATATAAAGGTATGTTGTTTTGTATAGGTGATGCTTGTTGTTTGGTCTTGACCTGCCACGCTGACTGGTTGATCTTAAAACATGATTATCATATTACTTGCATGTTTCTAGGATTGCAGATAGCTGCGTTTCATAAACGGTTGCTGGGTGGGAAGCTTTTTGTTGCTAGGGGAAAGGATGATAGAATGCAATTTCTGTCACTCCAAATTTCCGCTTCCAGCAAGTAAAACTGTGTCCAGGGCGTATGACAACCATAAGAGCAAGATATCCTCAAAACAACGAGCTCTTCATGTTATGCTGGTTGTTGGTGATTGCATCTTGGTGGGACTCCAGGTAATGCTTGTTGAATGTTCTGTTTACGAAAATTTGCTGTCTATTCTTCCAAGAGCACCGCCTGTAAGAATGGGTACTACAATGAAACCTGCACAATCCCATTCAAAATTTCGCAAACTGCTATTAACATAAGTTGTAGCTTGAGTTCAAAATTTTCTCATGACCTGGAATGCTACAACTTTGTTGAATAGTCTTTGCAAAATGATCTAATTATCAGGGAAAAGGTATGTAATCACTTGTCCATTTTCAATTATATATATGTGGAGGATATATCATTTAATTTAAGTTAGTATGCTCTAATGGACCAAATTGTGCCAGGGAACTTAAGCACTTTGTTTTACCCTCTACGAAAATATATAGAACAAGTAAGTAGATTGACTTTATGTAGCGTTTAGCACCCTTAGTTCCTCAACAAGCTCTCCTTAAAATGTACATTGTGTACTACATGTACAGAGAGGCAAAGCAAATGGTTCTAGGCGAACTAAATGACTTTAGAAACAAATACTTGACTGAAAAAATGTAACATACCATATTTTAACATTTAATTTGCATTAACAACTATATGAGAAATTCTCTTTTAGTCAAGAAAATGATAAAATTATTCCTCTATTTGGTTCAACTGAATTGGTAAAATTTCTCTCTAGGAAAACTCTTCTTGCAGGTATGTTCTTGTAGATATACTATCACTGCAACAACTTGATCAATATCTTACATTACCAATGTCTTCAAAAACTTGTAGTGATGACAGGCAATGATTATTAGAATACTTATTTCATAAATTCAAGAGCTAGTGATTTAGTGGGTTAGTCAACTTATGTATGACATATTTTACTGTTTTCTTGCAGCCCATCCTGGTCTATATGTCTAAGGTGGATGGGAGCTTCAAATTTAGTCCCATCAGTGTTAATTTTCTGACTGAGGGTACAAAAGTTCTCTTTGCCATTATGATGCTGTTGTTCCAGGTGCAAAAATAATTTAAATTTTAGAGTGCTTTGACTCATACTCCTGAATGTTTGCTCAAGCTTTTATTGGCTTTGAATTGATTAATTGTGTGTGCATTGACATTGTTCACTTTTGAATGCAGTAAGTTATAAGTAGTTACCTAAGATTATTCCAGCTGAGATGCAGATGATGTACTTGCCAACATTTTGAATATTATAGTAAGCTTCTGATTTCAGAGACACACATTGGAAGAAAGAAGAAAAGTTAATTCTCATAACCTCACTAGGGCTGAACCATAAAAAAACTTAAATGTGAGAAATAAAGAGGATGAATTTCTTTTATCATCAGACTTACCAATGTTAAAGGTTGTATTTACGTTTTCTGTGTGATCATACAAGGTTTTCTGTCAAGGAGGAGGCAAGAGCTTGCTGCATGATAGAGGGACAGGGGGAGCCAGAGAGACTCCAAAAGGAGAGAAATAAAAAGAGAAAAAAGGAAATAAATGTGACAGCAGTCAAAAGCTGTAAGAAAAAAAAGAATGGTAGGGGTTTCCTGCCCAGTGCCTCTGGTTTTAATTATTAAAACCAGGTGGTTCAGCCAGTAAGCTAACCATACTCGGTGGTGTGAACTTAAACTGGGTGGAAACCTGTGGTCCATGTGCTGGTTCATGCTTGGGCTGGTAAATACTGGCCCATACTGACCAGTACGATCGGTTTTCTAAACCTTGATTCATTAATCTTTTTTTCTATTAAGTTGCTTCTTTTATTTTTGAACCTCATTTGGTTTGTGCTGTGGTCATATCTACACAAGGACTTGGTTTTAATAGAATTTATATTTTCAGTTTAGATTAGACCAATTATCCTAGCTGTGGAGATAAGTCTCTGCTATTTGTTCTTTGTGACCTTTCTTCACTATTCTTCTTCTAATCTAACCCCATTTCGTTTCATTCTTCCCACCAAAATAATTGCTGCTAGCTAGTGCATGATTGAACTTTGGGAGATTCACATCTTTATGAATTTAATGAAGCAGTTGACAGAGTTTCAACTGAACTTTCATATGCTTTTTGGTGGGATCTTTCCTGCAAAAACCTTTAGATTTTTCCTGTGATGTGTTATCCAGCATCTCAGCACATATGATCTTGCTAGAGAGATCATTTTCCTAGTTAGAAATTAGAAGTGCTTGCTAATATCGAAATATTTCTAACTTTGTGGGTGACATTGAATACAAGAACTAATCTTTATTTTTTCTTCTGAATTTTTAGTTATTGAATGTTATTCTCAGTTTCTAGCTTATGTGCTTATTGGCATGCTGATTGAAACTTTCTATGAGGTTGGGATCCATTGAAAGTGATACTACTGCTTCCATCTGATTTGTTACTTTCCTTTTATTTATTTTTCATTTTGGTTGTGTGCTTTCATTCTCTAGCAGTACATAAAGTTAAATATACTTTGTCATTCCTTGTTAGGCACTGGATACCTAGGTAGCAGCAATTACTTATGGTATTTCACATTTGCAGGCCACATATAGGTAGCAGCAGTTTAATCAGACCACATATAGATAAACAGTTATCTTTTAATTAAGTGTTTATGGTATATCACATTGTTTAATGGTTCAAAGATTTTTTTATTATTATATCTTAGCATATTCTTTTATGCTACTTGTGAATGTTGTCTTTCCTATCAAGTGAATTGTGATGATTTCTCTTGGTGATTCATCTCTTAATTGGCAGTCTAGGCGACAAAAAGTGGGAGAAAGGCCTCTTCTCTCTGTATCTAATTTTGTGCAGGTGGAGTTTCTGCACATGACAATTTAACTTTCCTGATACAAAATTCCTTTTTTCTTATATAGTAGTTTTCAAGTTGTTCTATTGCATTGGATATGACCTGTTTGTACACTTTCATGCAAATCTTTGGTCTAGTCTAACATATATACTTGTTTTCCTCTTATTCATCACAGAATTTATAATTGATTTGTTTGCTATTGTATGCTCAGCCTACCTGTGATCGCAGATAAATGATTTTTTAGTATCCATAATTTTATTTATTAATGTTTCAAATTTCACTAAAGGCATTGAACTTATCTTACATGTTGAAAATGACATGAACTACTACATTCATTAGTACTGTGAAATACATATCAAGGAAATTCTAAATCAGAGTAAGAGTATGTGATTATGGGATTTCATCATTCTTGAATCTGCAACAGGCTTTGGCTTATGAACCATTTTCATGATTCATTGTGAGTATAGACTGACCAGCTTGTCATAGGACTTTTTCTAGTTTATGGTTTTTTTTTGGCTTGTTCCTCATCATAATTTCTTTATTAATTTTAATAAACTTTTGACACTTGAAGTTCAGTAAAGTTTAAAGCTTAAATTTATTTTATGAATCTTCTCATTGTGGATATGATGCTCGAGCTTTTCTATCAGTATGCTTAGCGAATACAAGTATTTATTCTTGAATCTGAATGAGTATATGACTGCATATTAATTTTAAAAAAAAATTGTTGGATTGTGGCGACAGTTTCATCTGCTTGACCATGGCTTAGATACTTTATTGAAGGTTTTGCGGCTTCTAATTTATATGGAATCTTATTTCAATTTCATTTGCCATTCTTAATGCACTAGTATTTAATTGCTTTTTTTATTTGTCCAATGATCCTGGATTTCTGGGCAATTCTGAACCAGGAATACTTGTTGTTCTATGATGTAAGTGTTAGCATCTGATTATCAATTGCGTTACTTTGTTTACAGGCAGCTCGAAACAATATTCTACTGGCTGTTCCTGCCTTTCTTTATGCCATCAACAATTACCTGAAATTTATAATGCAGGTACTTAGCCCTTTCAGTCTATGTTTAGAGGTAGTGACAAAGGATTATGACCTTATACTATGCTAGTATCACACATGATGTATGCGCATTCACCCATGTAGACACTGGCATAGACAGATTGCCATGCACTTAGCACCTGGAGTCATGGATTGTTGCAGTAGTAACATGAACTACAGTGGCTGGACATGTTATTCACAAAATGTGAGTGCTGATTTGAGATGCATTAGAACAGTGACATTTGCATGCCGATGTTTGCATGCATCCATATTGCTAGTTTGTTCTTGCTGGTACAATATTTGCACTAAACACCATCACACCATCCTTGGTGTCATACAGGGTGATCAGTTCATATGTTCACATGATACTCCTTACCATTTTTCACCAAAGATATAGAACTATGCTGAAGTTTTTATATTGTGTTTGACTTCTTTCTGTTCTTTGTGCAGTTATACTTCAACCCTGCTACTGTTAAAATGTTGAGCAACCTTAAGGTACTACAGTTTAGTGTACTTTTTGAAAATATTGTTCAAAATTTGCACAAAATGTCATATTGACTATACTGTCTAGAAAAATGTGCATATCATATATGTGTGTTAAAGGTGATCAATGAAAAATAGTTATAAATTGTGGAAGTTAATTAACTTTTAAGTCATAAATTTTTTTTTATGTTTGTTTCTGTCTTAACCTACGTAAAGTACCATTGATGGTAATCTTCTGAGCACAACAATTTCTTTTCCTGTTGTATTCAGAATTGATTCCTTGACTCTTATATCTGTTCTTCCCATAATAAGATACACTTATAATATCAGTTCTTACATTGGTTTACGGTACTTAGTTTCAAAGTTTGACGTACCGAAGCATACTGTTTGGTACGGGCGATATGTACCAGTCTGATAGAGGACCAGTATGGGTGGTACATTGGTACAACCCACTGTACCATGTGTTGGTATAGCTCGGTACTGTTTGGTATGTATCATATTGATAGTTGGTTGGTATATTGGTACGGACCGATAATGCGAACCATGTTTAGTTTATTATCTGTCATGAGGCAAGGGTGCTCTAAGCAAGGATTGTCTTCTTGATCAGCATGGGTTGGGACATGCTACACCTGAAAGTTCAAATGACAATCCTAGGTTTGAAGTTTTTTTTGGCATTTTGAACCCTTAATGATTAAAATTCACAAAAAAGGAAATCTTCTCAATGATATTCATGACACCTTGACTAGTCCCATATTGGATGTAGTAGGAGAGTTGCACTAGTACCATTGAGAGTTACATCATCTATTTAGACAGTATTTTTTGGCCATGTGTTTCTAGGTTCATCAAATTAACGGGTCAGCTTTCTTTTAAGCAAATTCATGACATATTTGCAAGATTCTCAAGAAATATCCAAAGATATAATTTCAGAGTTAATTAAGAGATGCATTTTTTTACTATTTTTTACAAAAAAGGACATTTCTGTTTACTAAGAAAGTTATTTCATATTTACCAATTCAATTTGTGATTTGTCTTAAATATTTGGTTACAAGATTGAGGAGACTAGCCTTCCATTAATTAACATATTTGTTTGTGGACTAAAGAAAGAATAGTTAGGATACTAATGTACAAATGTGTTTGAAAGACTTATTTCATTCAACATGTTTTCTGAAATTGTGCATACATATATCTTATGTTCAACTTAGAAATGATTTATATATATGACTGTCAAGTCATTCTGCAGGCAACAAGTCCCATTTTCGTATAAATTTAGACTTTGTTGTTTCCCTCTATTTGGGTTATTTGTAGTTGTGATAAATAGTTGTTTGCCACGTGGTTATGAAAAAAGTTCTGGTGTCACTTCATGTTTTCATTGATTTTGTTGGTTATATCGTGTTGCTTCATTTCTCCTATGTCAGCTATAACATGTTTTCTCAAAGTTCCACATTGTGTTTGTTTTCCCTGACCTGCAGTCTGAACATGTCTGTTGCTGCTTTTAATCTTCTGTAGGTTTTGGTAATTGCTGTTCTTTTAAAGACCATAATGAGAAGACGCTTTTCCATTATCCAGGCAAGTTTGAGCTTAACGGATATACTTTATAGTCTGTTTTAGTTTTTGAGTTGCAAAATATGGAAAGTCAAAAGACTTTTAGGTGAAACTTCCATCAATTTAGATGGCAAATGTCTCAGCTTTTCTAAGTAATGCAGAAAATTAGTAGTCTTGATCAAAGATGGATTCTTGGAATGAGCATATAATCAATTCTTATTTACTTGTATTAGTTAAAATGGTCCGCATGCGTGGTAAAATAGATTGATATTTTATTATTTTCATGTCCTGTTGTGGAGCAGTGGGAGGCTCTTGCACTGCTGCTCATTGGAATCAGTGTTAATCAGCTTAGATCCTTGCCTGAGGGTACCACAGCGCTTGGTCTTCCTGTTGCAACTGGTGCATACATGTATACACTGATTTTTGTAAGTGCTATAAACTACAGTATAAACATCCAAGAGCTGATCTTGCTTTTTATCAGCTTAGATGAATCTTCAAGCTTTACTGACAACCTTTTAGTAAGTTTCTTCTCTTGCAGTAAAAATGAAGTGGTTAACACATTAATGTTGAAAGGCTTGTAAAATTTTAAGAAACAAAAAGTTGCACTGTTCTGACTTATGGCTACTTTTATTTAGTTGTTTACTAGGAGAGAAGCTGGAGTTATTTCTATTCCCTAAACTCTTGCTTGATGTTTCCTTTTGCTTCCAGGACTAGTCAATCTACTGAATTTTTTGTTGACTATCATATAATTTGAAGTTGTAAGGTTTGATAATAGTATATATGGCTTTAAGAACCCCTTGAGGATCCCATATGTGGAACAGAATAATCCATGATTTTTCCAGAGTCTCTTCTTGTAAAATAACTGTCATAAGTCTATTAGTTTAGTGTTTGGCATTCTATTTTGTCATGAAATGAAACCTGACATTTTAAACTTAATTACATTCAGAGCATTGAAATTTTATTATATGAAACATGAAGGGTTCTGATGTTTTGTATCTTACTCAAATACTAGCAGATTGCATTATCCATTTGTCAAGTGGGACTGAATTTGAGAGAATTTATCTAAATTACTTATTAACTAACTCATAACTGGGCCAGTAGTCCTGTTCAATTGAAGTTGAAGATATACATTTTTATTTCCCCATCCTAGATTCTTACATTGAGAGGATAAATTTTCAGGTAACTGTACCTTCACTAGCCTCAGTCTATAATGAGTATGCTTTAAAAAGCCAATTTGAGACGAGCATATATCTTCAGGTTAGTCTCATATATGATTGTTATTGGTTTCTTACTAAGGTCGGAATAAAAGATTCCCTGCTGTGTATATTCTTGTGGTTAAAAGTGTTATCCTAATTCTTATCAGTTTTGATCTATGGATTCACTAGTTATTCCTCCAATTTAGCAGCCCCTCTGTATTTTGGTTCTTGTAAATCTCAGTTTGAATCTTCCCATTTTCACATGCAGAACTTATTTTTATATGGCTATGGTGCTATATTTAACTTTATAGCAATCATCGGTATTGCTGTCCTCAAAGGTATGATCTGCAAGTAATATTCAAGAATTATTCTCTGTGGATTTTGTGTTATTTATATACTCTGGGAATTCTTTATATCAATGATTAGATTTAGTCTTTCATTAACCACTATTTTTAATTTCTATAAACTTTTGCTTATTTCATGGTTCATGGACCGTCCTTAACTATGCTGGTAGTGGTTATTAAGCATGTTAAGTTTTCCATCAAGTTGTCTTTTGCCTATAACCTGAGCCAAGGCCAAGAGTTACCTAACAATTGCTAATGACAGTATAATATGTGGTATTCAGCAAGGTCTGCAATATCGTACCATACTGGTGTTTCGAGGCTTGCTCGGTACGGTACGGTGTACCGAGCGGTACGCCAAGCGTATCGAGCGGTACACCTAATTTAGGGTACAAAACCCTCCAAAAATATCTGAAAATAAAAAAAAAGCTAAGATAAGATTTTTAAGTTAGAAATAAATATAGTAATAGTATAAGTTTAGCAAAATTAATGTAAATTAGGTAAGAATGATATCACATATCTTTTTCGGGCTTTAAGAAAGTTTTGTTCAAGGTTCGTATTTCAGTCCGTTATGGATTGTCCTTCTGTAAATATTGAAATATCTACAGAAAAATCATTTATATTGTTAGACTATTTTGTTACAATATAAACTCTAAAATTCAAATGAATTAAATAATCACGTATGTAGATATACTTGATTGTTGATTCTACCACCAAAATGAACGACGGGCCTCCACAGGTGGTGTATTGGGGTCCTCGATCCTATATATCTGCATATCAATATGATATGTTTGTTGGACCCAATCATGAAATTGATCCGATGACATAGTGTATTGATACAATGTATGTCATTGATGCATCAATGTGGTGTTGATCGTAGGTTGATCGTCATGAATCATATTTGTCCGAGGCAGCTCTTGAGGCATATATTAGTGAATGTCAGAACTTCTACTTTCGCTACTGATCTGCTGCTCTGTATTATACTGTTGCTCAGAGAAGGATGACCAACTATCACCATACTGTTGTTGCTCGTATGATTCTCCATAATACGATGGAGCATTGTAGCACTGTTACAGTGCGGTAACGGTCGATTTCGACCGTTACCGAGTTGTGCCGGGCGGTAACAGTCGAAATTTCGATCGTTACAGCCCGATATTACCCCGTATCGTCCGATACAAGGCGCTTTTAACCGTTCCGTCCGGTTGCGAGCGGTCCGCATACCGGTATGCCGTCGGACCAGTATGTACCGCCTGTACCGGGCGGTATCATTTGGTATTGCCTACCTTGGTATTAAGTACTTTGTAAGGGTATATTAGGCAAAATTTATCGTACCATGGCGTACCACCTGGTATAGACAGGATATACTGGTCCGACAGGGGGCCGATATGGATAGGACATACCAGTTTGTCAGTACTCGGTATACCCTACCGTATCATATTTCGGTATATGTCGGTACATTCCACACTAGTGGCTGGTCAGTACAGACCGATAAGACGAACCATGATATTAGGTATTCTAACTTGGACATGTGAATGGGATATATTAAACATTATGAAGGATAAACCAGCAACTGCCCCATTCTGATAACATGATCCTCAAAAATTGTGGACAAGAAAAAAATTCTTAATGAGCGAAATATGATGAAACCATCATTTTAGTTTCATTACCATAGTGCTGACATCAAACAACATATCTAAAAGCTGATCTCCATTTGCCGGTCATTGAAAGATCATTCAAGAAAAATAAAATTGCACAGGAAATTTATCTAGTACAAATGTCTGAAGTAAAACAAAAGTATCTTTAATGTTTTTTTGTAATTATTTTTGCTTGATGCATGTCCGACATGAATATGGCAAGTAATGTGAAGTGCTTATGTTTCGCTGAGCTGTTCATTTTTCTAAATGAAAATGTATGGGAATCAGTAGCCACAATACCATTCTATCAATTGTCGACCCTCTCTCATTTCCAAATGATGTTTGACCATGTGACAAGATAATATTTGTGCATGTCTTATCTCTGTCCCTGCTTCCTAAGGTCATATTATCAGTTTAATGGCACTTCCTAGACCCTAGTAATTGTTTGGATAAGCCATAGAAAACCTTACTGATGAGTCAGAATTGATTGGTAGAATATTTTGCTGGAGTCTATTGATGGTAAACGCTAGAGAAGTTTTGCATTATCTAGCAATAATAGTGTGCACCTCTGACAAAATATGTTGAAGTGAAATAGAAAGAACCACTCAGTAAGGAAGATGGGGAGAAATTTAAGAGAAGTGCTTCTTTCCTGTATAGTTCTTGAGCCAAGACAAATGGCAATTTTAGTTGGGGCTCTTTTCTCATTTTGCGATGTACTTGACAATTACAATCAGGTCTTAAGTGTGTTATATGACCTTTAAGTTGATCTATATTCTTTGGAGTTTGGATATTATATAACATAATCATAAACATTAGTTACATCATATGTTCTAGCTTTCTTTAAGATGCCTGTACCATAGAAGATTTGCAAGTACCTCCATACCATTTCTAAACCGTTCTATGAATATGAATGTTTAATGTGCACCCTTGATTGTTATAGGGACAAGTAGTTTTCACATACTTGAAGGACACTCAAAGGCCACAATGTTTCTCATTTGCAACAATGCTGCACAGGGAATACTCTCGTCCTTCTTTTTTAAATATGCAGGTGGGGCTATAGTTACTAAAAACATGAGTTGGAGTTTCTTATTGTTCTCTGGCCTTTCTTTTTTTTTTTTTGAAATTTTGCATTAAGCTGCTCATTTCTATATGTATGCAGACACAATTCTGAAAAAATATTCATCGACAGTTGCCACTATCTTTACTGGCATAGCATCTGCTGCATTATTTGGTCACACTCTCACTATGAACTTTGTATTGGGCATTTCAATAGTGTTCATATCGATGCACCAGGTAATGATGCAATTTCAAGTTGTTTATCTACCAGTATAAATTTGTTAGAAATTACTGATATCCTCTTCCACAGTTCTTTTCTCCACTTGCAAAAGTCAAAGATGAAACTCCAAATGGAGATCTAGAGATGAGGGATGCCCAAGATTACAGGTGTGTTTTCTTGTCTTGTGATTTTATGTTTGCTTTTCTTGTCACTGTTAATCTGCCTCTTCATCTCTATGAAGAAGATTATCATGCGCCTGCGTGACCCCCGCACCCCCTTGCCAGCGCACACACACTGAAAAAAAAAGACACATACCCTTCTCTTTGTCCTTGATTATGTTTGAGAGAAACAGTTCACATGCTAGGGTCAAAAACTGCCACTTGCATTGTATTTTTTTGGATGTCATGTAATAGCTGAGTTGGAGTGACAAACAAGATTTACACTCAGACATGACTGCAGAATGATTATCAATGTTTATTTTGTTCTGAGGTTAATGTGTTTTGATGCCTTGATTTTACAGATCCAAGGAAACATCTTTCATAGATATGGCTGCTGGTGCAACAGAGGATGTAAGTTAACTTTCCAGCATTACAGATTCAGTGAGGAAATGTAATAAAAGCATATGTTTCTTAAAGATGTATCATACATCAACATTCCTTTTTCAGGCTAGCCACCACTCTGGACCTGATGAGAAACAACCACTTCTCCCCACATAAATTTTCTTGCAAGGTTAGCTTCTTTCAATTCTCTATTTTCTTTCAGGAAAATGCCTGACACCTAAATACCACTATAATATTGATTGTAAATTCATGCGTTAGATTGACCTCTTTGATTTAAGCTGTTCAAGCCACTTGTGAGCCATGGTAAAAGTAGCAATCTTTTTGCAGTTGAGGTATGTTACTAAAAAGGCATGGGTACTTCATATTTAGAATGTCCAGTTGGGTGCAGTAGTACGAAGTGCAAAACTAGAATTAGTCTGACATGCAACTTGTGGATTTCGTCGGTTGGTGTGTGCATGCGTCATGCATGCGATGTGCATACATGTGTTCTTCAATGTGGTCTAATCACCTTAGCACAGAAGAAGCTAACAGGTGACAACTAGTACTGGAAATTTGGTTGTAATTTGTCAACTTATTAGGTCCATAATGGAACCCTTGCTCAAAATTCTGGTTGGAATTTGGTAGAAGATTTATACACATTATTTGATATGGATCGAGCATTTGCATTTTGATCCAATAAGTTTATCGGATCTTAAAAGATGAACCATGTCCAAACATTTTGAGTAATAATTAGACGCGGTTCTCAAACGGATTTCGTCAACAACCCTACTTTCTCAAACGGGATTTAGATCACATATGACTCCATGTCTATAGAGCAAACTTAATTCTTACATTAGCCACTGTGACAATTAACCAAATATGGTAACTAGGTTGGTCATTGAGAAAAAGAATGAAGGGCTAGTCAGTATACTTTAGTTTTCAAGTACCCTATCCAGCAAATTTTTATTATTTTTGACTATTTATATGCTATTTAACTGCTAAATAATACCTATAATCTTTTTCATCTTGCTCGTAACTTTGTGAAAAATGTTTGAAACTGTTCTCTGCCACAGACGTCAGAAGAATATTCTTTGACTGGTCACAAGAAAAAGATAAGCCAGTCCTAACTACAATAAATAGAGCAGTTTGCTGCAGACTCCGACCGAACACAAGGTATATAGCTAGCGGCTGTAGAAGACTCGTGTTTTCAGATTGATGAAGAGCATGAAAAGCCTTGAAGGTGAGTAGGGAAAACAATAACTATAAACCAGTTGTAAGAGATGGTCATACAAGAACTTGATCTACAGAGAACTATTTTTTTTTTAGTCTATAGTTATCATTACCTGGATAATCATTTTGTTATTTCAAGATGCAATAGCACCATGTTCATGCTTGTGTCTCTTATAATTTGGATGTATAACCTCAACATTTCTTTCAAATGAGATGCAAAAACCTGAATTCTTTAATGAAATAGCTCAGCTACCCATGAGGAGATCCATCATGAGGCAGCAGCATGAAGAACAGGCACAACCTCCATGCATATTATGACAAATGAATTGGCAAGGTCTGTGCTGCATATTTATGAAGAATTCTTCATGTTCAGCTTATTTCAATTACGTCCAACATTTAGCTTCCTGTGCTACAGTACAGTAGTATCAGTAGCAACTCAGAGATAAAAGATAGAATGGGAGTGAAAGCTTCCTGTGCAGTATCAGTGATTACTGTTTATGCAGGATAGTCACTTTCCTCTTTCTTTTGGCAATTGAAATGCAAATAAAAAGGGAGTAAAACTTTCTCTCTCTCTTTGGTGAGATAATTGAAAGAAACATCATATAGTTTTAGAAATTTTAGATAATTTCTAAATTTGTTACTTTTTATATCGAACAAACAACAGTGACAAATAATTTATTATGCATTGTGTTTTGAAATCGACTACATGGATTTATTTCATCTATGTTGATGAAATAAATAATGATATATCTAAATAATTTTTTTATTTATTTATGATATATCTCGTTTAATCAGTGTATCTGTCATTCTCTGCTGGACATGTTGATTCTTTCCTTGCTTTATTTTGATCTGAACTACACATAATTCTTCACAAATACATAATTTCTTGTTTTATCTTTTCTAATAAATCCAAAAATCTTCCACATACATTTCTACAATACTAATGAATCCTCCTACATTCCATATCAAAGGCATAATTGCTTTGTCATCTAAAAGTTTCTCATCAAATAAAATTTTGATACTTCTTTATACAACCAACATAGCTTATGTAAAACTTCTTTTCATCTGTAAGTCCCATGCAATCTTTAACTCTTGCTTGGGGCATTAAAGCTTATCCAAATTGAGAGGGACTAAATGTTTGAAATTTCAAAAATACAAGTTGAAAATGATTGAATGTCTATTCCTTAACATCAGCGAAGACTTTTAAGAGATGCAAGTCCAAAAACAACAAAAGTGAGTCATTTCAGAGCATGAACCTTCATGTCATACTTGATTGTATATTTGAAGCTGAAGTCAGAGATGAAGAGGAAACAAAGAACTAAGATAAAAGGAATCACTACTATAATAATTAGCATTTAGCTCCTAATGTGACATGTCACTTTAAACTAGGGTTATTTGCACATTGGTATACACATTTTGAACTAATTACCTGTCATTTCTCATCTTATCACTACTTACAACTTGTTAATTTTCTTCTTTATTTAAAAACTAAAAAAGAAATCTCTTCAACAAACAAAGAATTTATGATTATTTAAATACAAATAAAAATTAATATTTGTATATAATTTTAAGTTGAGTAATATTAATTGTATTTCACAGGCTAAGCCAAATTAGATAGTGACTTGTGCTAGATTCTGACAAAATAGTTCATTAAGGCCACCAATGAAGACTGGGGTACAATTTTAAAAAGGAAATGAGGATGTAAAAAATGTGAAGGTTGGGATCAATTAGTAGATAAATTGTTGAATTAAGATGCATGTAATGAATTATTAATGGGTGTCTTTGCATTAGGGAGGTCAGTCACATCAGTGCATGACATCCATCATTTCCGGCATTTTCTCTCTCCTTTGACCATGTACATGCATATTACTTTAGATAACTTGATCAACAATCTTTTATTTTCTTATTGCAGATCCAATGTGAAACAGATCAGTCACAACTTGGGACCATAATTCAACCAAAAGACAATCATTGAGAAGTCTTCTATAAAGGTGCCATGTTTTCTTTTTTTTCTACATCTTTTATGGTTTTGTGATGATAGGATATTTAAAATAAGTAAAAGAAAGCATGTGATTTTTAATTACAACAATAAATAAGTATCATTTTGATAGAGGTTGAGAAGAGAGAAAATGTACTATCATGTTTTTTAGGAGACCTCTAGATTAGATAGATAAAAAATATAAAATAATTAATACTAGTGGTACGAGAAAAGATAGAAGAAGATCTAAAAAGATCTTAATAGAATTATAAATAAAGATTTAAATATTCTAAACTTAACTAAACATATAATATTTTCAATAAAAGATTTATATAGTTGATCTCAAATAATTAAAATTTTATGATTTTATTATTATTATAGCTTATAATAACTAAAAAAATATTAATTAAAATTTTAATCAAAATATACATATATTAGGAATGTATATGATAAACTTAAATTGATAGTGATAAATATGAAGATCACTTGTAATTTGCCTTAGAAATAATACATCACAATTGTTATTATTATAACAATACACTAAAATCATTCATATATATTCCGTTTGTTAACGTTAATCTAAATAATAATAATAATAATGATGATAATGATAATAATAATAATAATAATAATAATAATAATAATAATATCTGGATTAAAAGTAGTAGACTTTAGGCTCACTGTCATATTGGGAGGTGCCACATCATGATCATGATCATGATCATCGTCGCCGTCATCACCGTCGTCATATCTATCTAGTGATTAAGATGTCAACTCACAACGGTTCACATCATCCGTCGGTTTTCCCACAGCTAACAATCTCCCATCACGACCGTTCGATCTTCCACAAAGCAATCATCACCTTCCGCACTCCATCTTCTTCCTCTTCTTGCCGTAGTATGTAGTCGTCTATATATAACCAAGAGTGTGGTAAAGATCCCATTTTTGTAGAGGCAGGGTGGGAGAGCGAGAGCGATAGACCGTGACAAGGGAGGTTTGCTGCTGTCCGGAGGGATGCCGATCGTTGACTCCGAGTCCCTGCGCCGCTCGATTCGCGAGAAGTGGAAGAAGGTATGGACCAAGAGGGCTCTGATGGGCTTGGTGTTGGGCCAGTTCGTTTCCCTTCTCATCACCTCCACCGCCTTCTCCTCCTCCGAGCTCGCCAGGAGAGGTCCCTCCCTCGCTTGCTTCTCCCTCTTCTTTCGATTCGGTTGTCTTCTTTTTAGGCGATTCGTTTGTAGTAATCTGGTAAGGGTGGGGTTCTTTCGAGTCCTTTTTGGTAGTAATCTGGTGAAGCGGGTCGTTGACTTGCGACGTCGTCTCTCTTCTTTCGATGCCTATTTTTCCTTCTTTTGGACGATTTGTTCGTCAAAAGATAACAAAGGTGCCTTTTCTCTTTCTTTTTTGGGAGGTAATCTGACTTTATGTGATTTCCTGAAATTTTTCGTTGTGGTCGGACATCCTCTCTTTCTTCTCCCTCTTCTTTCGACGCTTTTTTGCTTTGTATTTGGGCGATTTTTCCGTAAAGAATATAAATACGTTTTGGTTTGCGTGGTTTTCTGAAGTAGGTCGTTGTTGTGGAACGCAGGCGTGAATGCTCCGACCTCGCAGTCGTTCTTGAATTACCTTCTCCTTGCAATATTTTACGGCGCTTATGTCATCTACCGAAGGCGGCCACTTCAGGTGCCGTACTCGCTCGCTGCTTTTGCTTTTCCTTTAATTGCTTTAATATGTCCAAAAAAACTTGCACTTTAGCCTCGTTTTAGATTGTACGGGGATGTTGTTTCCTCTATTTTTCTCTTCTAATGTGCATTCGGTTTCTAACAGCAATGAATAATGGCTTCATCCGGTAGATTTATATAAAGAATTCTTCCCTGTGGAAAGAATTGTTCGTTTTGATAACTTTGCTAGCATATTAGATTTCTTTCGCTATCACCAATTTAGTTATGTTGACAAATTTGGGATTAGCTTCTAGTTCGAAAAAAAGGTAATTATTCATTCGCCATTTGATCTTTTGTGCAGATAAATTGGTACTACTATTTGATTCTCGGTATTGTTGATGTGGAAGCCAATTTTATTGGTGAGTACCTTTGGTGATTAATAACAATTATCTTTTGTGGGGATGATGTGCCTTTCTAATTGATAAATGCCGGGCCTCAATAACATTCTTGAGTTTCATTGTTTCTTTTATGGTGTCAATAACTTGCATCTGTATTTGGTAAGGCCTTTAGTACTCTGTAAACCAGGTGGTGGAAGATTAATTGAGCTAGCACCGATTGTGACCGTAAGTTCTTGTAACAACTCATGATTGGGATTACAATGGGAATCCTTGTCTAGAATTCACCAAGCAGCCCAAACTGTCCGAAATGGATAAGAGATCTGGGCTTTTGATTTATACACTAGTCGAATAAGTATCATCAAAATTCAATCCGAATACTAAGGGGTTGGTTTCAGGTATACCACCTGAAAACCTGAACCTGATGGGTCAACATGTTTGTACTAATTAAAAAAATTGGTGGATTTTGATTGAATTGTTACGAAAATGTGAACTAAAAGTATCAAAGAAAATCAGACGAATGTTTGTAGGTTCCCTCGTTTTTCTACCATAAATTGTGTCAATATTCCAACTCATTTTGATCTCTTACCATCGTATTTTTTAGTAGCTAGTCTCTTCTCATCCTTTAACAATCAGCACTATGCTGCCATCATTACACTGGCTCCATCCTCCTGTTGCCATACTGTATCTACTTCTGTTTCTATCTCTTATGCATATTTTACCATAATGCAATATTATGAATTTACTCAGGCAGGCTTGAATTTTATCAAACCTCATTCTGTGGTTATGGTTGAGCTTTATACAATTATGCAAATTCGAAAATTGTGCAACCTGAACTGCCTTAGTAAATATGTTGGACTACTTTATTATATTTTATGTTGTTCACTTGCATAATAATTTTGTTTCTGTATGTTCTTATCAGACATTTTAGCTAACTATATATAATTTGTGACAACTGCCTTCTTTTTCAAATTCATTCATTACCTGTTAACTTGATTTCAAAGCTACTTAATTTTTTTATATTTTGAATAGTTGTCAAGTCTTACCAGTACACATCTCTGACAAGTGTCATGCTTCTGGATTGTTGGGCAATTCCTTGCGTGATTCTTCTCACATGGTTGTTCTTGAAGACAAAATATGGATATAGGAAATTCACTGGTGTTGCTATTTGTGTTGCTGGCATTGTAATGGTTGTATTCTCCGATGTTCATGCCAGTGACCGTGCAGAAGGTAATTTGTCGCTTATTGCGACTCCTAGTCCTCTTATAATTTTTTATAATGTTGCTATTAATCTGTTTCTGCCGCATCAGGAATGCACAAACCTTCATTATTTAGGCAAAACTTTTATAGGCGAAAGTAGGCATGAAGAAGGCCTGAGCAAAGAGAAGCATTGCAACAGAAAGGATAATATTGCTAACATTATTTGTAAATTTAAGAAAAATAGTGAGAGTATTCGAAGAACTGTAGGATATATTGAGGACAAAGTGGTTAAAGCGATGTTTGAGGTTGTATAGGTCAATTTGGTTATTGTGGGTACATTAGTTAGTATAATCTACCAAAGAAAAGGGTAAGAAGATGTCAAATAGCAATGTTGATTCATGAGAAAGTGCAATCTACAAATATTAGCATCTAAGCAAACAATTTGTCGCAGGCTTGCAACAACACCAGTGACGGCCCTTGGAAGATAGAGCTACCAAATGACACCACTGATCTTTAGAACTGTTACAGGAGAGTTTGATAGATCTGGCACCAGTGAAAATAGCATTGTTGATTTAAGAGAAAGTACAATCTACAATCATGAGCATCTAAGCAAACAATTTGTCACAGGCTTGCAATAACACCAATGATAACCTTGGTAGACAAAGCTACCAACTGAGACCATAGATCTTTAAAACCGTCTTCATAGATCTGGCAATAATGGGTGTGATCAATAACTGGTAAGAGAAAAAAGATGCATTTGGCCTAATTTATCTCATAAAATCTTTTCAATGTTTTATAGTATATGTGATACACAAGAAATTACAATATATAATTTCATGAAGAAATCTTGAATTAGTATAATTTTTAATTTATTTTGACTCACATCATACATCATATGCTGTGAATTTCAATGCAGTCTGATCCCATCCTTTGCTTGCTTAACGAACGGGGCCTTATCTCCAGCCAACTTGACTTTTCTATCTCCACCTTCTAGAATTATGAATTGCATTCTGATTCCTGATTCTTGATCATTTTGCATTCTAGAATGATGTGGTACATCGAGATTGAGATCAAATATTGTGAATCTGATTTATTTTTATATGTACAAATTAATTAATGATAATTAGGAGTTTAGGACATATATTGAGCATATTAAGTGGATTCGCATATTTTAGATCTTCTACCAGGAACTTTTACTCAATTTAAGGCATATCTAAAATACTAAGATATGATATATGAGAAGTGTACATAAAGATCCAAGTAGTTTAAAATATACTACATTTCATTCTGGCAAGCCAATTGACCCTCCTAAGTACCACAAAGCAAAATAAGTGGTATATCTCATAATCAATTCGAATGATTCAGAAACAGTCAATTTTAGTCAACTTTGTTACTATGCTTAGAAGCAAGTTCATATCTAACAAAATATATAGTGGTAATGTCCGAAGAGCATGCACAATCCCTTCTAGAAAATCCATTTGATTTAGAACATCACTTGCTCCAATTATTTCCATGATTTAGGATGAGTTTAGGTTGGATTTATTTTAGGGTATTTTATGTGTGTAACTTTCCCAAGTCAAGTCTGTGTTTGAGTTGTTACATTGTTTAATAATTTGTTGGAGTAATTATGCCACTATTTTTAGTTGTTGCATTAAGATGTTTCTAATAACCTATTTTAAGTTGTATGTCAAGGAGAAATGGTCTAGATATGACATGGTTTTGAAAAATTATTAAACCATTTGAATTTGGAT